ATGCCGTGGCCGATAAGAGAACGCCACATACGACAAAGAGATGCCGCGGCCGACAAGGAGACGCTGCGGCCGACGAGAGGGTGCCGCGGCCGATAAGGAATGCCGTGGCCGATAAGAGAACTCCACATACGACAAAGAGATGCCGCGGCCGACAAGGAGACGCCGCGGCCAATGATGCCGCAGCTGACAGAGACGCTGCGGCCGACGAGAGGGTACCGCGGCCGATAAGGAGATGCCGCGGCCGACAAGGAGACTTCGCGGCCGAAGAGAGGAAGGCGAGGAAACGCCGAAAACCCCTTTTACTACTAAAATTATAATGTCATGTTTAACTAGTTTTAATAAATATTTTCCTTTACAATAATATTGACACTTGAAAACTTTTTGTACACATTTTAACATACTTCATCTTAATGGCAAAAGCAAAATATGCTTATACCAGTACAAATACAATATAGGTACCACTTTGTATTAAAAATCTATTGATTTGTACGGTAAAACGTTAATAATAATAATAACTAATGTAAGACTCGCGAAGATTTAGCAGTAAATAATAATACACAGTCCACCACAACGTAAATCGATGGTGTTTTTTTATGTGTCCAATTGGCTAAAAATTGCTCATTAGTGTATCTGATATGCAATGATTTATAACGAACTAATATTATGTCTTACGAACGACGTTTTGGAAAAAAAATTGTCGGTAAACATTCAATACTTTAAAAACATAAAATTGGTGGTATCTCACTATAACAATAGTTAGACGTAGGCCTAAAAAAACAAGAGATGCTAAATTTGAACTCGGGGTTGCTTAAAACCGTTTTGCATTCCCCTAGTTGCGCCAATAACTAAAAAATATGAACCTTCGTATAACTTAGATGACCCAGCTATAAACAAATCAAGCACTTTCGGACAATGTGTTGTTAATTATTAAACAAAATACGTACCGACAATAGACGCTAATTCAAACACACGGTAGTCAGTACAAAATTAATAATGGTAATTTTTTATAGTTTAAGTGGACGAAATTAAAAATATATTAATACTAATTTTATTATTTTAGTGGCATTCTCTGAGAAACAATTGAAACCTGTAAATTAAAATTATCATTACCACGTATGTCCATGACTTAAGACGACAAAAAAATTGAATTTTATCGGGTAAACAAAAAATGATATTAATTTTATACATTTTTCACGAATTTTAATTAAATTGTTTTAAAGTTATTCATCTCCCGGTAACACTTCTGAGATGACATTTGGGTCAAAACTTATAAGTTGAACAGTGAGATACGATCAGAATTGGAACCGGCATCAAATAATGTTTCTTTTTCATAGTGTAAAATATTTTAATTATTTACCTTCAATCAAATTGTTACTATATTTTAGGAAGTAATAACAGTAACAATTAATATATGTTCACTGTTTTTTTTTTTTTAATATAATGTACTATAACATTTATAAATTTGTATACTTTAAAATGTACGCATTTTTCTCTATTACTTATTCAAACATTGAAAAAACTAGTTTTAATAACTGAATATAGTGAATACTATTTATTTTTTTTTATAAAAGAACTCGCCAAAAGTTGTTTTAAATGTAAATATTTAACATAAGTATTATTTTAAATAATAAAAAATATATAATAAATGTTGTCAACAATGTGATTTTATTAAACATTGTAAATTCATACAATGAAAAAAGAAAACATTTTACTCATATACTTCCATTACATCATCTTCATAAATATTCAAATCTTCCATCATCTCTTCAAGGCTAATACGAGGTGGAGCATCGTCATCATCATCGTCTTCCGCAGCAGATTCAATACAGACATCCGGATTTTTGTATATATTAATATTTTGCCTTAAATCTTTGTCCTCTTCCAAATCGTCCATAAATTCGTCCATGTCACTAAATATTTATCATTAGTATAATAATATTATTCAATTTTTAATTTTTAACTATCATAGTAAGATACTCACTTGTCATCACTTTCAACATTCATTTCTGTGTCCGTGGTCATTCGTTTCAATTTCCAAGTACGCCTGCGGTGCCTTGCGCGGTCCGGATAATTTTTCTTTATCAGTATTACATCTGGCAATGATGATTTGGGCAATTTTTCAAAATTGCTATCATTAGCATTACTATCAGCAATAGCGTAGCCCAAAACCGTGTCCATTGGCTTGAGTACGTGTCCTAAATGTGACCGGCAATGTATAGTGTCTGTTGTCAATCCCAAATCACTAGATTTTACCACCCATACGTCAGCCAACATATGCTAAATAAAACATAATATATTGTTTTAAAATCAAACATATTTTTGTCAATAAAAACTCTCAAGAATAATGATAGTAATTTGTGGTTTATAACAGAAAATTAAACATTTATACAAGTAAAAGGTTTTTACTTTTAATTGTTACATAATTACAATTAGTTATCAATTTATTACAAAGTATATTATACTAAAAATAAATACAATATATTATATGTTTATGACTTATGAGGAACAAGAAAACAGCTTGCTTTAAATAACCTATACAATTATCTAATGTCCATTGTTTAAAGAAACACAAAACCCTAAGTTTCTTTTATTTGAAACTCTAAGAAAAATTGTATAGTTTTAATATTTTTACTCGCATTATTTAAAATTAAAAGTTAGGAGGAATTTTAAAAAGAAGTGTGACATCATTGGACTGAGCACACCGTAATTGCCCATATTATATGTGTAAAAGTTGGTAACTTCACAGAATAATTAACTTTCCTTTGACATTAATTTTTGAATTTAATACGTATGTAATGTGTCTTAATACACCGCAAGACGTAGATGAAACTAGAATTTGTCGTGTTTAATTTTTTTTAAATATTTAAAAACTTATAATACATTTTTGTTACATACAGTTCGTAACTCTAGCGGTCACTTAACGCAATACAATATAGCACAGCCAACTATTATCTTTTTTAGTATTAAAAATACTAAAAAAGCGGGTACGCGGATATCGCTCAACTGTACATTAGGTGTCTAGGAGGTCGCTGTAATAATGGATGGTATTATATTTAAATTCAATGATGAAGTTGTAGGAGCTAAAAAAATTGTTGAATTAAAATTATTCTTAAATTACCAGTGATGCTGGAAAAAATATCAAATATACAAATATACCCATGTAAAATTGAGCTGTCTTGGAACCGAATTACAACAAAATGATAAACGTTATTGTTTGTGTTAATATGCAATTTTGTCCAAATTTGAACTTAAAATACTTATAAAAAAAAACGTACCTGTGTACTTTTAATATTTTTCAACAGCTATTGTATAACATGTTATCAAAAGTCTTATAATACATTTTCATGCTTTTTTACCCAACCAATAAAAAATTATTGACATTTATAGAAAAAACAATTAACATTGAAAATGTCCGTCGACGGCTTAATAAGACGAGCCAAAATACTTTGAACATTTTATCAAGTATATGAATTGATGAAATAAACATTTGGTGTAAATTTCAAGTGTCTACAGTAATTTGTTTTTAAATAAATAGAAAATAAGAAAATCGCTACAAGACAGTGGAGTGAATATCCAATGGTGTAAAAATTTCAACTTCAAACACTCATAAAAATTTAATTTGACTTTCCGGTAGAAATTATTTTTTTTAATAAAGGTAGACAAAGGTTTAAGGAATCTTATACATGAAATTTTTAAATCTTAGATATAAATAGAAAAAGTTTTATGAATTTCTAACTAAATATAATTTGCTATATGTCGTGATTTTTGCGAATTTTGTCAAAATTATAAGTTTAAACGTTCATAAAAAGTTATCGTGGATTTACGCTCAACTTTTTTTTAATTTCTATTAACAAAAACTTACAAAGAATTTCGTATTACATTTTCAAGTTTTTTGACAGAGCGAAAAATTGTTCATCGACTTGAGTTTAAAAAAAAACAAATAGTAATCGAAAATTTCATATGCATACAAATAGTTCAACATAAATCAAAATATTTTGAAAAATTTATGGTGTATAGAAAATGTTACACAAATATTCAGTGAACATTTTATGAATCTACAGTCATTTTTGTTTGAGTTACACTAAAAACCAAAATAATTTTTTTCGAAAAATGGTTTTGCGAAAAAATTCCGGTTTTTCTTATGGCTTTTAAAAACTATTGGGAATTTTAAATTTTGACCTCCCGAATGCACCAACTAGATTCACTTTCCTACCAGAGAAGTTGCTGTTTAAGAAAATCGAAGCACTTTTACTACAAGAAACCGCGATAAAACAGACACAACAAAATTAATAAATAAATATAAAAACACACATCCTTGTAAAATCAACACATCTATCGCTCCGCTCGGAATCTAAAAAACTAAGTTTATATTGCAATTCTGATACCTCAATCAATCATCTTTAGCACAAAAAGCTACACGTTTATACGTAAATCAAACTTCAAAAATTGAAATGTTTAGTTAGGTACATATTAAATTGTATAAAGTGAGCAACTTTTACCCGTATACCATAACATATTTTACCTAACATAGAAATTTTACCTAATCCGGCCCAATGACATAACTTGGCTATTCTAAAACATAAATAATAACCCTAATATCTCCTTAGGAAGATGCTACTCAGTCACTTGCATAGTCATACAAGTTACCAAGTTTTATAATAGGTCAATTCACTCTAATTTTTAAACCAACTAAGTGTAACGTAATCTCCTGAGTGTAAATTTGATATATTATAGTATGTTACGTATACCTACTTTTAATACAGAGATAACAAATTCCGATATAACGTTCTCTTGAATGATATTTTTTTTTACAATTAACTTTGACCAAGTCATTTCTGATAGTTCTAATAAACAATTTAGTATTGAATAACATTTTTTTTTGTGTTGTGTGCCCCTTCAAGAGGACGCCACACCCACATGTGTTGCCTCCGTCTTACAAACGTGTAAGCAAATAGCAAACTTACGCTCAGTAGATCACGTTTCGTTCCGTTGGTTTAAAAATTAGAGTGAATCGACACATTATGAAACTTGATGGAGAGAACATTATATGTGTGCCTACTTGTGTTCGTTTTTTTCAAAAGCCTAATTTTTAAGTGAGTTATGAGCTTTTTTAATTTATGATATATTATATACGCATAACTTGCTAAAAAATTTCGTAAAATACGAACATTGAAACACAAATAATGTCTTAACATCAAGTTTCATAATAGGTTGACTCACTCTAATTTTTAAACTAACTGAATTAAACATGATCTGCTGATCTTAAATTTGCCATGCTACGCACTTGTAAGGCGGAGACAACTCATGTGTGTGTTTGTTTCCGCTCTCCCACAACATAGTAAATTTATGTTTAGCAGAGCTAATCCATAGGGATAGGATTGTTGTTACCTTTAATATTAGAGTGAATTCTACTTACTATCAAACTTCAAGCTAAAAACATTACTTGTGTCCCAATGTTGGCTATTTTTTTTTTTAAGTTATGAGCATGTTAAATATCACAAACAAAATCAACGTATGGACACACGTGATATTCTTAGCTGAAAGTTTGATAATAGGCGAATTCACTCTAATACTGAAAGTGACAATCCTATGGATTGGTTCAATTAAATAAAAATTTGCCATGTTGCCCGCGAGCCAAAGAAAAAAAACAAATGATACACAGACATCCTGTTTCACGTACCAATCCCTGCAGTCTTACAGTAACAGAAAGTTAGGCCAGGCTGCGTAAATGCCGTATTGGTTAAAGGAACAGAGACATATGGCAATGACAAAGTACTAGATGATTTTTATGAACCTGCTGTCGGTCAGCGTACTATTAAATAGAAATTCGCACAAGATAGACATGTGTCTAAATTAACCTTATAGACTAGTGTTAGTACAAATACATAGTATATATAGCAGGGATGGCAAACCTTTTGAATACTGCGTGCCCAGAGTTACCTTTTTTTTCGGAGCGTGCCATGAAAAAAAATATTAAAAATATTATAATTTGTTATACTATAATTTGATTGTATAATTAATGCATTAGTATAAAAATGTTAGTTTAGGTACATAATAATTGTAATAATATTGCTTTTTTAATTATTTATTTTGACATGATTTCTGTTGTTGAACACTTGATGCCAATTCATTGATATTTGGTTTATAATTAGTAACTTTTATTAAAGTACATGCGGCACTGCATTCGTCAGTTAATGACCGATAAAAGACATAATATGTTTTTACCTATTACCTATAATATTATATGATATATACTAGTAAACATTTTCGCGTGTCATGGATTTACCATCCCTGGTATATAATAGGTATAATAGTAAAAGGAGGGACTCATGACACCGTGGTTACAATCGTGGGTGGTGTGATGATGGAGTGGTGGAGGTCGGCGATGGTGGTAGATGGCGGGAGTCCCGGTAAGATCAGAGCACTCACGGTACACGGCCAATAGTGGCGACGAGGTCTTATGTAGAAACTTACGAAAAGAACCAACGCACTCACTCGTACGAGAACCACACATAAGGCCCGAGCGACGCGACGTTGCGTATATTATAATAATACGACGACGACGACGACGTTCGGCACACACCACACGAGAGTGATATACAATACATAATATCTTATTCGAATTGGCCGTCATTAATGGGAAAAGTGCGTGTTGTCGCCGAGCGACAATTGTATATTCATACAATATATTATAAATGCGTGTGTACGTGATATTCATTTTAGATCGCTTTGATGCATTTATACAACACGTCCTCTTAAGAATGTGTTATTATTGTTTTTACAACTTGAAACCATAAGTTGACTACAGACATAATTTCGAGTTGAACAATATTTGGGAAATTTTGTCATTATTATTTGAGTAAATATATATAAGACTACTAAGAATTTATAAAATAGTTAAGAACTTAATCTTTTAATTCCTCATATGCAATACCATTTGACTACTAGAACACTCACCTTGTATGAAAGTTGTCCTTGCCCCGGAAATTGTACTCGGTCTTTTTCCATGATTGGTTCAATATCCATTACAGTGTATTCTGTTAATTGTTTACTTTTGAATACACTTTGAAAACTATCTCTCCAATACGCAGAACTGCTCACCTCCGCCACTAAAAATAATATAATCAACCATTAGAGCATAGTAGCATACCTACAGAGAATGGAAAAATATCAACATTTACATTGAGCGGTAGATGGATCAATCAGCTTAATAGAATTTGTTACTCTGTAAACGATACAAAGAGGACTGATCCCTCCTAGTTGTTGACTAACTTTTTTAGACAAGCAAACAATACTATCCTTCATGACAGGAACAATTTCCATGCTAAAAAATAACAATTTTTTTTATTTATAATTGCATTCCAAACTAGATAATAATCAAAAATCAAAATTAAAACTGGTGTAAAATCTCAAAATAGTAACTGAAAAAAAATGCCTCCAAGGTTGTTAAATATCACTTAAAATTCTTTAGTGAACCATTATTTTTAAATGAAAATTGTTTTTCAGCAGTTATTTAAGATAGGAAACAAAAATCTTGTACTCTAAACAATAAGTTTTATCTAGTATCTAGCACCATATATATTGGCTATTATATAAAAGTTCATTTCACTGTTAAGTCATGGTACTGAAACATTTCTTAATGAAATCTAACAACTAACCAATACTTCATTTTGAATATTGTACTTATTACTTTATTATCAATTTAAGTTTTTTACTTTAGATAGGTATAATAATTAATAAGGATTAAATTTTGAAAAAAATTTAGATTAGCAGATTGGTAATTTAAAATTAACAATGAAACATACGATTACAAAAAATTATATTCAGTGAAATATGAAAACATTTTTTTTCTACTACATCGAATAAGATTTTACACCAGTACTACATATCTTTTATTGGTCTTTGATAGCTATAAAAATACCTGTATGTGAATTTGTAATTATAAGTATTACTATGAATATCATGCGATAACAACTTTTTAGAATGCTGATATCGGCAAGGCAACACAGCAGTCATGAAATCCACAAGCTTACGAGCTTGTGACTCAGTTGAGTAAAAAAAATCCAAACCATCTAAAATAGATAATATTAATTAATACCATATATATTCTTTGATATTTAGAAGTAATAAAAAAAGATTTTTTTACTTGATTCTGGTTTTATAGACAATGTATTTTTATGTGCTTTGTGTTTTAACATTAACTGTTCTAAGTAATAAAATGTTTTCTTGTTATCTGATTTTTGTCTAACTTGTACCTGTGATCATAAATGTAATTACTTTTAATGATGAATTAATAATATTAATATAATGTAGTTAACAATCATTATAAGAGATACACCGAGATGTTGTATTTAATAATAGAATTATCAATAACAATACCTTACATACCCAGTTCTAACTAACAAATTTCATTTGTGTTAATTTCAGAATATACTTACTAAAGCACGCCAGTAATCCTGAGCTTCAGACCTATGACAATCATCACACATTTGATTTGCAACAGTAAATTCAACCACAAACACTTGTTGTAATGTCATGCCACTCATCACTTCACCATGTACAGTAAGTTTTACCTAAGGTTTAATTTTAAGTTTATGAGCTTTTTTTAAATTACCTATTATTTCAATAATGTATTCAAACCTTGATACGTTTGGAATGAGGTTCGGTCCAAATAAATCCAGCATCCACTAGTTTCACTTTATTCAATGCTTTCAGTTTACGCAAGCATAGCCCTAACAGTTCCTTAGATTCAAGCGCACAGGATATCCACTCGAACGGTGGTTGTAGATATCGCTCACAGTTGCGACAAAATTGCAAAATTCCTTGTTTGGGTATGTCTTGAGTGATATCCACATGTATACGAAGGCAAGAAACACACATATTGGCCGGATTTGGCTCCATGGGCACACCACACTGGCAACATAATCTATAAGAACACAATAGCAAACAAAACCATTAATAACCGTGCCGGTCTACCGTTAGTTTCAAGAAACAAGGAAAACCGAATACTCACATTTTGAGCACCGTTGCCGGTACGGAGGTCGGCGCGTAGTCCATTTCTGGGAGGTTTATCGAAATTTCACTATTCGCACTTAACTTGGTTCGAGACCGTGAGCGCGAGCATGTGAAATGTGAATCAGTCAGCGTGTCAGACACTCGCCATTGATTTCAACATTTACGTTCTACGATCTACGGAATTGATAGTAGCATCAATAACCCGAGTGATAACAGAAGAACGCAGTGCGTTCATTAATTGCCGATACGGACGTCGTTGTTCTGTTGGCGGCACTCGCTGCGCGCTCACGACGTACGACGAGACGACGCTTTGTTTGCCAAACAACCGCATACCCGGTTCCCGGCGACCGAGCGCGGCGGATTGTGGAAGATTGTCCGATATCGATTCCGCCCATCGACCGTCGTCCGTTCGTTTTTGCCGTCGGCAGTTGGCTGTTGCGCCGGGCACTCCGTCGTCCCTTACCGTCTCTACCGGTTACCGAGTACCGGCGACCGGCGTCTAGCGACCGGCTTTGGCGGCAGTTTACCCGCCGTCGACGGTTTACGTTTACCCGGCGCTGCGGTCGGCGTAACTTAAAGATCGGCGTCGTCGTCGTCGGCTCGTCGCGTCCATTTTCGAGTCATTTTACTTTTTTCTCGGCTCGTGCGTGGTGACGTTCACAAAGGTGAGTAATGAAATTATTTCTAATTTTTTACTATTCGTCATCCTAACTCCATTTCACATTTAAATTTATTGTTCAGACCCAAACCCACTGTCCAACGTGTTTTTGAACCAACATTTTATCATATTTTACTTGCGTCCTTTTGTCGTATATGACCGACGCTGTCTCCCACACACGCGTTTGCGAGTTCGTTCGATTCGACCGGTAGTAATCTTCTCACGCCCAAAGTATTGATTTAATCGTTAGTCTCGGTACCGGGTTCAAGAACACTCGATTTTTGTTATAGATAGTCGTATTCAAGTGGATTACTAATCCTATTGTCATGCCAGAAAACGAGACTCAAAACGTACCGCGGTACTAATCGTTAGTTCTGATTTTTGTGTTAGTCAAATGTCCACTTCATAATTTTCCGTTAATCCGGAAATCCAACAAATTTCGAAACGCCGGCACGTAACGCCATTCCTATTCGTCGTTTTATACCTACCCTCGTGCGCTGGATTCTAGAAAATGTTTCGTTACGTTTGTTTGAGACATCTCTCTTGCTAATCGATAAAATTTTTGTAGTCTGTCAGGACTACCTGTTGCGTGTTGTCGCAACTGAACCTTGTTAGCTTTTCATTATTGAGTCTTAAATTGTTAGAATAGTTACACCTACTAAAGATTTCCGTATCCACCTAGTTTTTCTATGCTTCACCGCTGCTCGGATAAAATAGGTTCCAATTTAAATTGATCGGTACAGCTCATCCCTACACTAAAACCTAGTTCATCTATTTCGCCATTTTGTAAATTCTAATAAAAATTATGGTTAACCTAATAAAATAATTGTTGTTTTCTTATATTTTGTTTGGTAGATGTGTTATTTTATATCATGAATAATACTTGTTTACATACCTATACACTATTTGTAGTTTATAATTATTATTGTATATAATGTAATTTGGCATAATAATAATTTAATATTAAGTTCTCTAGTGCAATCTTTCGTAGCATCTTTTCTGCTCCTTATGTAATTGGCCAATGATTCCTATGATTAATTGTGTATTCTATCTAGGTGTATTAACATAAACTATGTTTACAGAAGCCTTTTTATAGGAATATTTGGCATTTATTTTTTTCTGTAAAATTATGAATGCCTCGCTGTAAGGATTATGTTCATGTAATTAAGTTAAAACTAGACCATCGCTATGTCTTGACTTAACCTCCTTCCTCCCTCCTAACTTAATATCAAAAACATTATAATTAAAACTACAATTTTTGTTATTTTATATTTCACATCGAATGTGACTTCATTGTAGCGCATTAGGAGGAAGCTTTTTTCTCGTGAGTTCCCTTTAGAGCGTGTTAAAAAGGTGGGAAATTTGAAAAACTCACTTTTCTTGTTTACATCCTTCATTTATGAAACTGATTTGAGTAAATTCAGACACCTAATGCAGGATGATCAAGTTGCATTTGATGTGAAACATACTGTAGTATTTTACTTTGCATACTGCTATTTGGTTGAAATGTGTTCATTATTAGTATCAAAAATGCTAGGAGGATGTTAGTGCACTATTTGTTTTCTCTTTTTTGTCCACGCTCAACATAGACAAAACGAAATTACGCAGAATCATTTTTGTCTCAAAACAATTTAAACATCATTTAAATGTACAACATTTTATTTGTTTATTTTGTCAAATACCAATAAAATATAAAATCAATATGTCATTCCCTCAAAAATATTATTCTCTATATTTTTTGTAATAGGTGATTTTACTCTAAGATTATTTACAAACATAGAAAAAATGATTCTGCGTAAACACAGTTTGTCCATATCATGCATAGGCTAGAGAGAAAAAACCAATTGTGCGCTAACATCCTCTTAAGTCTTGTATAACAATGAACAAAAATTAATTTTTCTGTAGTAGAAAATCTGAACTAAGTGTACTATTTTGAAGAAGAAGTTACACAAAATAACCACATGTAAAAATTTAAATGTCGCTCCGATTACTGTGTTAATCATCAAATTTAAGTCATATTTTCAATTAACATGCTTGAGAAAAAAATGATTTATTGACTAAAATTTGAAGCACTAGGTTTGCTAACTATTCCTAATTTTCAATAAAAAATGTTTTTTTAGATACGATGGCAGTTTGTTTCATTTGTAATTCAAAATTGTTTGGGGAACGAACACGTGTGTGTTCAAGCATTGCACCACACAGTAATGCTTCATACCCAGATAAGATTTGTGAACTTGTGGGGGAGGAATTTGTTGTTATTGTTACTCCCGCCGATCACATGTGCAAGAGATGCACTTCACTTTTAATTCATATGGACAAGCTGGAAAATGATTTGAAACTTGTTAAAAATGCAATGTTATCGTATATACAGAAAAAATATGGATTATTGCCTGCTGATCAGCCTATTAAGTCTATTGAAGTATACATTTATTTTGTGCTTATATCTGTACACAATATTTAACTATTAATTATTTTTCTTTTGTCTTACCTAGGTTGTCAATGGGAATATAAGAACTGAAGAATTGGAAGTAGGTCAGAGAAAAGTTCCTAGTGGTTTGACAGTTAGAGAACCTTCCACTAGTGCTGGTGCTTCGAGCAGTGCTTCATCAAAAATAAGACAAGATTCTTCCAAAATGAAAATTTACAAGTGCGGTTTTTGTTCATTTCAGTCTAAAGACCTTGGTCATGTTCGGTATGTTCTTGAATAATATTTTTCCAATACAAATCCTTAATTTATTTTATTTGTATTTAAATTTCAGTTTCCATATGCGTTCTCATATGAAAAAAAATGAAAAAACAAACCAAACTGCGACAAGAACTGTAACTCAGGTAATAAAATATATTAATTGTAGGTACAGTTAATGGATAACAAATTTATATACTCGCTTTTTATAAGGATCTTAAAAGCAATTCTGTATTTCTATAAGAATTGAACAAATACACTTGAGAGAACACTCCACCTGCATGTGTTGTTTTTGTCTTAGGAATGTACACCAATACTCCTTCTGTATTTATAGTATAAATACGAAAATTCCACAATGCAGAGAGAAAAACTTAACCTGTGTCATATTATATATGTTATTATATTATGTTTTTATTATTTTGATAGCATCTTCTTTCCTATCCATTATGGAATTTTGGCAATTTTACTATAAATACAGAGGTATATTATAAAGTTGTACTGCTCAAAACATTATGCGTTTAATGTATGACCTACCGAGTGAAAATCAATTTTAGTATGTGACCTGTCAAGACCATTATCTATAATACTTGCGGTGCTGGTCTAATAACATGCAAAATACATTGTCTTAAGTGATATACACTATGTGTATTGATAAGTCATTTTTTTTTTTTAATGTAATGAAATAATTGTATGAACATTTTTTAATAATTTTGGCACATTACTTTAATTGTACCTGTTCTATATTCATATATTTTTTATTTTACATTATTAAATGTAATACCATAGAACATTAGAGAAGTGACACTCGTCCCTCCACTTATATTTATTTTTATTTTGTGGCGGTCTGGTTGATGTGGTAAGCTTGGCGGTAATGCATAATATTAGGAATGCTTTAATTGTCAAAATGGACCACTCAAGACTTCCGCAAATATTTAAAAAAAGGTCATTATATGTATCACATACTACCTTGGAATTAATAGCTATATAATCACTAGGTACCCATATTATTTTATGATACTAGCAGGCAAAAAACCATAAATAAATTTGAAAACAATATTCCCTGAGAAGCAGAAGCTAATTCAAAATAAAGAAATGCTTGTATATATACGTGTGGTTATTTCATCATGAAGTGTTTTAACATGCATATTATATGGCAGATCTACCACAGTTACCTGGTGAACTTTTTTTCACACACTTCAAATCACATTTACACAGTTCTATATCTATGTTTTCATTGTTAATGACTCCTGATTGCAATTTTTACCTGTATATTTGTGAATTAGACACTATATTTATAAATCAGTTTAATTGCAAATTTTATGGTTGCTATTGTCCTTAAATTTGTTTTGTTTGCATGTTCACAGCAACAACCTCAGCAGCAACAAATTCAAAATCAACCTCAACAATTGATGGGTATACAAAACAAACAACAGCAACCCCAACAACAACCATACAAACAGCCGCAGCAACAAAAAAAGCGTTTGTACAGATGTCAAGTATGCGCTGCTTCTTATGATACAAGAGTGGATTGCCTGGAGCATATTCATAAGGATCACAACCAGCAGCAACCGGTGGCAGAGGTATAATTCATTGTAATTGCCAAATATTATGTAATTATGCCTTCATAAATAATTTTTTTTAGGAGAAAGAAACTGAAGTTACTTTAGAGGAAGTTGCTGTATTCCAACCGCATGATGTACAGAATTCTGTTGAAAATCAAACGGCCACAGTAACAAATGACGATGAAGGACATTTATTGGATGGCAAAGGTGATATGAACAATACTGACACGGACTTTGAAATGTTGTTAAATGATCATGTCCCAAATGAAAACTCGGAAGTTCCCGCTGTTCAAGAGACTCAGAATATTTCTGAAAACACAACCGATCAGGCTGAACTTTTGCAAGAAAACCATGAAATCCCCGGTACAAATGAAGATATTAGAGGAAATGAGACTGGAACTGACCATTTGGATATCGAATCGATGTTGGCTGCCATTCATAATGATGTCGCTCCCCCAAATGATGGTGAATGTCCAGATATAAGCATTCAATAACCCAGTAATTCATGTTTTTTTTTTTAACAATTATTAAACTATTATCACTAATACAATAAGTTAATATTTTTTTTACACTTGACAATATTTATTAAAATTTAAAAAACCAGTACAAATAATATTTAAGTAATTTTTTTTATTATGAATCTTTTTGAAATAAAACAATTGTTCTTGGAAAGCAGTATACATTTTTTTTTTTTAATGCTAAAATGTCGTTCCTAATTTAAGTATGTTAATCTTAGTTGTATATAATTATTTTTTTAGGAGCTCTTCCAACTTGCCATTTTGGGACATCTTTCTTACGTCAGAGCCACCCCCAATAAATACACCATTCACAAACACTCGCGGAACCTAGATTAATAATAAATATTATAGTGAATCGTGTGCCATTTTCATAAATTGATAAATGTCAATAAATTTACCGAACGAGCGCCGGTTATTCCTTCTAAAGCATCTTGAATATCATCCATATCTTCTCTCTTGTCTAAATCAATGGACTTGTAAGTGGCTTTCAGCTTATCAAAACACTAGCACATTTTAAAATTAAAATAAATTGTTATTAATCCTTAAACTATGAGTAGATTTTAAAAACTCCTACTTCTTTGGCCATCTGACAGTAGCCACAATCTGATTTGGAGAATATAACAATAGGATCGTGTGCAACAGCGTCCTTAACAAACTGTGTAGCAGCCATCACTTGAGCTGGTGAGGGCGTTCTTCTGCTGGAAAGTGAACCCATTAGTCGAAATTAGTTATATATTGAATCGTTTTATGCGTATTCACAAAAGTGCAGTGGAAAATGCAATCAATATGTTTTCAAAGTAATTTGTCTGTCAACACATCAACTTAGTTAATAAACAGGTAAATTTTAAATTAAAATTGTTGACCTAGTTGGCCCTATTTACAAATCACATTTCGAATGCTGAATAAGTTAACAAAAATATTTTTCAAATGTTAAATACAGACAACATGTAAGTTGTCGAGTTAGAAGTGTCAACAACTTATAATCAAGTTTTATTTTAATTATGTGATTTAAGAACAACATAAAATATTTTATCTAATAAAGTAATAACTATAACTCACTACTCACCCCTTTGGCAACAGGAGGAAAGGCATTGCAATGAGACGTGAAAATGTTTTTTTCATAAATTATACTAACATGCTCCTGTCCATAAAATAATCTCCGTGGATGCCAATAATAATGGTCAAATAACTAATATATTAAGTTAGCTGTTTTTATTAGCATAGATTGAAAAAATAATTGTACTTAAATTGATGTTGATATTTAATAAAAAATAACATTAACAAAATAATTACAAAAAAATTTCTTTAATGCTTGGTACTAATGACTTATACATAGAATAATTTATTTTTCTAATCTTATTGTACGGTAAGATGTACAGTTATCCTATAAGTGCTGTGGTATAGTAGTAGTATCAGGGACGAACGCAGGAAAAAAAATTGGGGGGGGGTTTGAAAAGATTTAAAGTAAGTATTCATTAATAAATTAATAATTATTCATACTGTATTATACTTTAACTATTTGTTTTGGGGCTTTAGGCACTTATACTATACACATTATACATATTATACATATTACATATCAATATATTATCATAGATTGATAATTGATTATTAAAATTTGTCAATTCAATTTAAATTATAAATAATACGACAGTCGACAATCAAAACCTTAGTGAATAGCGGTAGGTACAGCGAGAATGCGATATATGTCGTGTTTGACGTCCGTTGGCAGTGTGGTATATGTTATATTGATTATTGAACAATGATACAATTTCTAAAATTATCTAGATTCTAGATAAGACGGGTCTTTGCGAATTTCTCGTAGACGGTAATTACACTCGTCTGTCTACATTAAGCACATCATCGAATTGGCAGCCACCGATGTCGATCAGTTATTAATAAATTAACATACTGTCATACTTATACATTTTAATGGTAATTTTACTGTATACATTGATTTACAAACCACAGGAGAAGGGACACTTTTTAATAACTAATAATTTATTTGAAATTTTTTGAAATTTTATTAGTAATACATTTGTAGATCAGATAATTTATTTTTTGTAACTGCTATTTGGTAACCCCCCCCCTGCATTCGCCCCTGAGTAGTATACTTGAATAGTTGAATTATTGTATAGTAAAACTTGCTATCTTATGTCTAATAATGTAAATACTATTTTATAAGCATATATTCTTGAAAAAGTACCAAAATCAAGTTACGATTTTATAATCACTTTATGGTACTTATATATGTTTTTAATATTGTTGTTTAGATATTTTTACAGAGTGATAACACTATATTTTTGAATTCAGTAATTTTGGTTTATTTATTTTATTGAAATTAATTTTAAATGAATATTAGTACTTAGTCCGATAAAAAAATGGATACTCCCGTGGATACTCAACAACAAAGACTACGACTATGATAAGGTTATCATTGAACACAATAGTATTTATTTCATTTACAGTAATATCTCCATACTTTTTCTACACAATCCTATGATAAATGTATTAGAAAATCATAAAATTATAATATGCGACAAGACTGCATGAGGAAGTAATTTTTATTCAGAAAAACTAAAACACATGCATCAGCAATGCTCATAAAAGCCAAATACCCATCATAATAGTGATTAAATATACATTTTAAGTAGTTAAGTATGCATACGTGAGAACGTGACATAAATCAATAATATTTGAAAAATCAAATACTGTTATTTATCATCCAAACAACCAGTATCAACTTGTTAAAGGAACACGAAATGCTAACAAGTTTCAAGAAATAGAAATGACTGAATTTTGATTTTTTTCATTTACATACATTTCATGATACATAAATTAAACACTGAAACAGAACTGTTTAAATGGCACCGGTTTCTTAAGTGCAAATATAAAAAAACAGAGAGAGGTGTTTTGAATTATCAACTTGACTCTTGCAGCAAATGAGCTATTTACAACATTAAATTTTCTTTGTAGGGGAAATAGTATAAGTAAAATAAAATACTATTAGAGGCCATGTAATGTCAATTAAAAAAAAAATTAATAGATCTGCTACCTCTAATTCCACCAACATATCATCAATTATATTCTGATTTAACTCAGATCGTGATGAGGTTTGTTGATGGAGAAAGAAGAAACTCATAAGACATTGCTAATAATTCAATACTAAAATAGTAACTCCAAGTCTGAGATAATTTTTTATTTAAATTTGTACTATGTTATAATATTGTAATTAAGTGACACATATATTAACAAATTTATCTATCTGTTGCGGCATTGATTTATTTTATTATATTGAAAATATTAATAGAACACTACACTCACAAGAGTTATCTCCGTCTAACAGATCACAACAAAGTAAAATGAGAGTAAATTGACTTATTATAAAATTTAAATGCAAAATTATCATCTAGTTGAACTCAGAGGCTTTAGTTGATATTTTAATGAAGTAGAAAATAATAAGAATTTTAAGACAGTACATTTTTGTAGATTTTAAAATTATCATAACCTGCTTCAAAATTAAAATATCAAAAATAACATAGAAGTGAATTTAAATTTAATAAATAATAATTCTTCTGAAAATTAAATTTACCATTTTATGAGTAATGAAGACGGAAATAACACATGCGGATTTGGTTTTCACTCAAGTAAATACAAAAATGAAATATAACTATGATATAAATACTAATATTTATAACCTATTAGCATACTAACAGTAAATAAAACTAGTGTCATAAAATGTATTTATCACTTGTTCGTGCACATTAAAAAATAATAACATTTTTCCAGTGGCAGCTATAAAACGGTTAATAAGTGATTCGTGAACCTGTGATTCGCCTTCAAATTTGATGGGCGAGTCAGAACAAATTATAATAATATGTGAACAGATAAAACGTTAATTTGATTCTTTGTAACTAATCGTGCACTTGTGTATTATACCGTAAATTTGTTGCGTCAACAAAACAGCTAGTAAGCACAAGGGCTGGACGTACTTTAATACTCGTCCGATACACTCTAAGCCGCCAACTCATACTTAGGCCAGGAGATTGCTTAAATTATTCTTAAGCTTGATGAATGACAATGCATACAAACTTATATTTTCAAACACAGCTATAAACCGTTTATTACGTATCTACCAAATGAGAATTTTTTCAATGACTAAAACAGCTATACCGAATACCGTTGAACGATCGAAATTCCAATGAACACAATACGAAAAATACTTAGAGATCAAACGATTGCATGCAAACAGCTTAATATAATTTTATTATGTAACATGAAATAATGACATACATACTTACTTATGGATTACGAGAAACGGAGTAATTTTCTTATTGAAAAACTCTTGAGGTCGACGCCTGACGAGTGCGAATAGCGAATGCCAAATAATTATAATTTATATTTATAAGAATTATTATTAATTATTACGTAATAACCTAACACTATAACAGTATAATATTGCAATAATTACGATATTTAACAATGATGATAGTTGATATGAAATACAATGGTACGATGGAAATTTAATGATAGCCATGCCCCTTCACCTTACCCACCGTAAACGTATCCGACTCGAAGCTTTTCATTGGTCGAGTCGTGAGGCGAACCGAATAGTCACTGATAGGTATCACAGAAATATATAAAAATTATTTTTCTTTTAATTTTAATCGGTGGCAATTCGGTGCTGATATTGTGCGCAGGAATCGACGATATTTCATTTTGTTTCCATCGTACATTCGTACCTGACCGTCTCGTGAATTATCGCAACAATAAATTACACGAATATTAATGATTATTATGAACGGTATTAAAATAATTTTCATGTAGATTACAACAATATTTAAATTTGCTATTCGGTATTCCCACAGGCCACAGATATAAATGATGTTTAAACCGAGAATGTACAGATGTGTTGGTAAGGAACGATTCCCTATTTTTTAGGGACAGAAAAATTTCGTTTACTCGTCATTTTTTGAATCTAATAGACGAAACTACCAATTTTTTATTCACATTTTAGTAAATGTATTATCTATTATACTATACAATTTTTTACTATTTGAGAAATATTTGAAATAATATTTCGTACATATTAATTTATTGTAGGTGCTTAAATTTAAAATATTCAAGATGTTTGATAGAAATATTAAAGTAAACTAAGGTGAGGAACCAGTTTTTTTTCATAGGAACAAGGGACTGAAGAAATTCCTTTGCTTGTGTCTTTCGTGTAGCGTTAGATATCGGATCCATAGGACATAATACAGTTTAATTATAAATCAGTAATTGCAATACATTCTAGTGTTAAGTGATAACAATTCAATTTATTTAGAATATAGTCTTAGTGTTTTTTTTTTTTATAAATTCTCAATTTCGAATCGATGGTTTTAATATATTCTAATCAATTATCATTAATAAATAAGTACCTACATTTTGTAATTTTATCTAATAATCATTTTAGTTATAGGTTACAGAATAAATCTGTTCACACATCCTTTATACCCTCAGACATACTCTTTGTCCTGGTGTTGTTCTATACGGAATTCTATCAACGACCTTTTTTGACATTTTTGAGACATTAATCATTTTCTTTTTTTTTACATTTTTTATTTTATATAATAATACATTGTAAACTTAACACATATTTTATGAAAACAGCATAAGTTAATATCGGTTTCAAATAAAACGGTTCACGAATTTATTTTGATTTCGCAAAAAAACCACGGAAAGTGTTTTCAGAGTTTTCGCAAATCGTAGGTAAATGTTGTAAATGTATTTTTTGGAGCAAAAAATTATACACGTTAAACAATGCATATTGCAACACGCAGAGTATGGTAGATATTTATGTATATATCACAAAATAAATACCTATCTTAAGAAATATCACTAAAATACCATAATATCAGCGGTAAAGAATGCGCTAGGTATTGAGTTATGTGGTGCTCGTTTCTTAAGTTCTTTATTTATTCATGATTTTTATAATTGTATTCAACTAAAATATAAACATTTTATCTTTATGATGACAATATTATTGACAATGTTGAATGTGTGTAAAATTAAAAATTTTGCATTTATGCATTTTGCAGCACATTGCGCGTCCTATATTACATACGATATTAATATGTTATATAGATTATAAATTATGGAATATTATGTTACTCGGCTTCATTTACTTAACAATTATTTACTATGGGTATTATAAACAGGCTCTCCCCTAAATTCCTCGAATATAACATTTATATAGGTAATAATGTGCAGTGTTGTAAAGTATATTTGTGTACAGGTATTCAAATACTTTTTTAAATACACTATTGGTTTTTTTACTATATCCGTACACTATTTTATTGAATACTCTTTTTTTTATCCTCCGATTCTTAATTTGTTTCTATTTAATATTGTAATCCCTGTTCAATAAAAATACTGTGCCGTCGCGCGTCGTGGTCATAATGTGCTTCAACGTTATTACAATTTTACTACATTTATCATGTGTGCATTATGGACAATTCGATGTCGGTTTTCGTCTATTCGTAGCTGAATTATTACTATTATTTTTTTTCCTACAGTAAACTGTTTATGGTCCATTACGATATTATGGGAAATCCAAATACCTACATACAGCTCCAAATACATAATATTATAGCTATGTCCGTCCACTGTCCAGTGCTCTGCAGTGTTAGCCACTTATCTTAATACTTTTCAGGTGATACAACTTTTACTGGAAAAAAAATTTATATGGCTGATCAGCATGTTGATGTTTTGTATAAACCGTGTTTTTAAAATGCGATAAACAAGTGTTTGATTAATTTTTGATCCAGGTGCCAGCTATATTGTTAAGGAGCAAATTATTGGCAACTTAATTCACATCTGGCGTCGCACGATCTTGTGAGTATGTAATAGCGTACAAGTGTATTTTTTAGGGTATTTTTGAATGTAAATGGTTAGTAATGTGAGTTTGGGGGTATATGAACAACGCACACAAACTCGCAGGTACATGTCATTAAGTAACAAATAACAAAAATGCAAAATATATTTATTTGTCCGTTTCGAGCGTTTCAGTTTAATTTTAAACGCGGACCATTCGGTGCTCGGTCGTTAAAAATATTTTGAAAATAAATTACTTAAATTGACAATTTCTAATTAATAGCAGGAATATATTTAAATTTAGACGCATGTGGGTATGTGCATGAAAGTCGGTATGTATATTTGTGTGTATATGTGTGTGTTGTATGAAGGAAAAGTAACAAATTTGTGCTTTTTGAGAATTTTTTCAAGTTAAAAGGGCTTGTCAAACTGTTTGTGCCCCTCCCCCACTTTTTAAAAACTGAAACTACGTCACTGCAGTAATATAGGTAGTATGACACACAAGTGACGTGAACAATATTAAAATATATTAAATATTTAATATATTTAAAATATATAAACAATATTTACAATATTTACAATATATTGTACAATATCCGCGGCGGTATTATTATTAATTACTATAATATTATAAATTATCATGTTTATCATTATAGACAATTAAATAAAATGTACATAGAAATCGGACATCCCCGATAAAACCATTGTCGTAAACAAAAAGTGTCCATCTATATACCTATATTCAGTGGCATATTTTCAACTTTTTTCTGAGGGAGGAGTCCAACAATTTTTTTAATTTTAACATTTTATAGGTATTGATATTAGAAAATTGTTATTTATTTAAATATCAATATATTTAGTTATCTTTTTATATTGAGTTCTGCAAAAAGTCGGCGCGTATCTATACTTAAAACGGAAAAAAGTGTAGGGCGTGTGGATTTCTTATATGTCACCAGAAAAAAGGTGTATGGTCGAAAAAGGTATTTATAGCCGAAAAGAAATTTACTTCCGGACGCGCAAAACAACCATATAGCATATCAGCATATCCGTGTCGGTCAGTGTGATCTACCTCTACCATCCAACATGTCGTCGTGAACAGCAACAAAACCTACAAAACCGAATCATGATAGTATCTAGACAAAACCACAGATCGGATTCCTTGAAAGTGAATGAGTACACATTTGAAAGGGTAGGAAATTTTAAATACTTAGGTGCAGATATTAATGAGGATGCTAATAGCCACGAAGAAGTGAAAAGACGGCTCATCGCAGCAAACAGGTGCTACTATGGACTATTACCATTGTTCAAATCAAAACTATTATCAAGGAAATCCAAAGTAACACTATATAAAGTTCTAGTCAGACCAATAGCTTTGTATGCAAGCAGTACTTGGGCGACGACAAAGTCAGATGAAAAAAAGTTAGAAGTATTTGAGAGAAAGATATTGAGAAAGATATTTGGCCCAAACAAAAACAATGAAGGAGAATATGAAATACGTAGCAATAAAAATTTAGAGGAATTATATAACGAACCCAATATTACTGGGATCTTGAAAAGCGCACGAATAGGATGGGCTGGGCATGTATGGAGATCAAAAGGACTAATCGGACAAATAACCGCATGGAAACCAAACGCAAAGAGGCCCAGAGGACGTCCTAGACAGAGATGGGTTGATAGAATAAAAGAAGACCTAAAGATGTTGGGAATAAGGAATGCCGAAGAAACGGCACAAAACAGAGAAGAATGGAGACAGTATGTTGTTGCGGCAATGGACCTAAAAGGCCTGTAAAAAGCCAAAGAAGAAGAAGAAGAAGAAGAAGAAGTGTTTGTGTTATATTTTTGGTAGATATTTTGGTTACAGAATGAACTACTTACGCAGAACTTTGTTTTAAATTTTCAATCTTTAGTTATAAAATTTGATCGTTTTAAACATCTTTAACTACAATATAATTTGTACATTTTGTGAAAATTCAAAATTTAAATACTTATAAAAAAAATGGTGCCTAGGCATTTTTAATATTTTTCAACTAGTATTGTTACAATATATTTGGACCATTGTATTAAATTGTAAAGCTTTTCGAACCAACGAATAACATTTTATTGGAATTCATAGAAAAACTAAAAATTCACACAAACCGCTCAAAACGAGTCAAAATCATTTGAAAATTGTATTATGTGTATTCATTAAATAAACAAATGGTATGAATTTAAATTATATGCAGTAAAGTTATTAGTTTTCGAATTACAACAAAATAAGAAAATCGCTACATGAGAAATCGAATGAATATCCAGTGTTCTAAAAATTGTAAATGCTTATAAAAATTTAATTTGACTTTCTGGTTGGCCTTTTGTTTTTTCGATAAAGGTAGACAAACTTATAAGGAATCTTATTTTGTTAAATTTTAAAATCTTAGATATATAAAAAGAAACGTTTTTATTAATTTCTCAAATTAACTTATCAATTCAAAATAATTTGAAAATTTTTGTGATTCTTACTAACTTTGTTAAAGTTCCAAATTCAAAAGCTTATAAACAATTATTGTGGATTTACACTCAACTTTCCTTTAAATTTCCACTTAAAACAACTTACGAGGAACCTTGAATTACATTTTCAAGTTTTTTGACCAAGCTAAAAATTTTTTTATCGACAATAGTTTTAAAAAAACTAATTGAAAATTGAAAATGTCATATATATATAATTTCATATTAAATAGTTTAACACGAGTCAAAATATTGAAAAATTTATGTTGTATAGAAAATGCGGATGTAAAACATTCACTGAAAATTTCATGTCAGTTTTCTACGGTATTATTTTTATAATTTTACAAAAAACTAAGATCGGTATGTTGTCGAAAATCAATTTCGAGTAAATATAAACGTTTTTCCTTTATATTTTGTTTGTATTACCTGCCACTTTTCAAAATTATTGGGCATTTTTTACTTTTGATACCCCAAAGGTACCAACTAGGTTCACTTTTCCTACCAGAAAAGATGCAGTCGAAGAAAATCGAAGCATTTCAACTGCCCCAAAAAGTGATGACAGACCAGTGGCGTATAGAGAGAAACTCAGCGGCCCTAGGCCCATAAGAGACAGAGGCCCCAATCTTTACTCAGGAATTCAATTGTAATAAAAATATTGATAAACAATCTAAATTGAAGACCGTATGTTGATGTAAGGTTTTTATATTATAGTTGTAGTCTGTGGTAAAAAGACAGTGGAGTTTTATATGCCGGCCGATCAGTTGGCGGTACGCCCAGTTCGCAGACCTGGAGGAAAACGGCGACCTGATCGTTTATTTCGACCCTAAATAGTAAATAGTGATTCTAGGAACTAAAAATAATTATGTAGAGGATTGTAAGGACTCGACGACGACCTACGACGTAGGTACAAATCATAATATTTTCATCAACAAGGCATAGAGCTGCGAAGTGCCGAAGTCTACATGATAGTCGTGGCTGCTTTAATTAGGGATAGGTAGGTAATATTCTTAGAATATTAACTAGTTATTAACATAACAAGTTATGATAATAATTTATTTGTATAGCTATATAGCCGCCCGTTCGAAAAACCAATGACGTTCATACAATACAAGATAATAAACGCTGTCGCTGTACATATGTTTCAAATCGAAGTATTTTGAATAAAAAAAAATGTAGTATTTTTTTTTAATGGAATGGTTAAGGTCCCGGGTCCCTCCCCCAACTTGGACGTACATTGGAGGCCCCGGCCTAAATACGCCACTGGAGCCAAGAGAGAAAAAGCTATTATGTGTTAGGTATAGGTATGTCCCCATGAACAAGCAGGGTGCGGTGTGCTGGGCGGCGCTGTTCATTAATTCATTTATAGATCTATGTATACAGCATACCGAGTTTATCTACCATTATTACGGTTTAAAATTAATTTCAAATTTTAAAAGCTGCAAGTCAGTTTTGCATTCGGCTCTCGCCGTTTTCCAAGTAGTTCTATCGAAAAAACGACCTGCTTCGGAAAAATTTCTTAATTCGTGATACGAAGGTAAAAAAACACGACTGATATCTGCGCGACTGACGAAACAGTACGTGTTATCATGTTCGACGTGTTATCAATTCAAAAATGGTTTTAGTTAATAATTTTTATGACTACGTCGAATGGATTTACTGTATACTGTTCAGTAGGATTACTTAGCCAAATTATTGTCAATTGCTAATCTAAAATTTAATTAGTGCAATACAATGTTATTGTACTCGTAAAGTATTAACTGTTCGTTAATTAATCGATAGCTGTTAAGGCATCATGATCGCATACTATTTGTCCAATTTATATCATGTATTACATTAAAATGTTGTTTCAACAGTGAAAAGTGACCATTCAAATAGTTCAAAAGTAAATGCACACATGTGGGATTTCAAGAAATAATTAGTAAATGTGTACTTTATAAATTTTAAGATGTATGCGGCCAATGGATTGTATGTTGTGCAGGGAGAGCTGTCAACTTTAATATCGGCGTTAAAAAGAGATCACAATTCATATCAAGTAAATAATCAACAAAATATTCAAAATATTCTGTTTAAAATAATTTATTCTTAGATTTAAAATTTTACCCAGTTTCATATACGTACAATCTGTTGCCTAATAACATTAGGTACATTCTTTAATTGAAACATTTTCTGCCAAATACCATTGGTTATAAATTATAACTTAAAATTTTCAATAAATACATATTCCGTAGGTAGTTAATACCAATACTTTGTGGATTTGCTGTTATGGATATATATATTTTAGTGTATAGTATTTTCTGACCATATGTACGTGTTGAAATATTGATTACTTGATTTACCGCTAACTAGTATAGTAGTGTGTCATTTAGCAAAAATCTATAGTTTTGTTATAGGTACATGTTGTTACTTATTAATATTCTTTCTATGCTAACAATTTGAAGCGTTAAATTTCCTTCATTTAATTTGAAATCATATATTAATATTTTGTGTTCGTAATATGCCATATAGGTACCTACTATTTTATTATTTAAATAAGACATTGATTTAGTTTTAATTTTTAAAAGTACTTAAATAATGTCAACCATGAATCAATAGGTAGTCAATGTTGTTTGTTTCATTTATCGCTAAATAAAATTATTTTGATGCTTAAAATATTTTTTATCTCACCCCTTAGCATTATAATATACACACAAATTCATAGCCAAAAATCAAAAATTGATTGCTATTACCTACCTGAGTGTTTAATGTTAATATTTTCAAGAAAAAATAGTTCAAACATAATTTTAATAAATTTGTATTTATTCTGCAGGATGAAGAAAGATATTCTCCATGTAAAAGATTATTCAAATTAAGAGATGCTATTAATCAAGTGGAAGATTTAATGTCCCTTAATTTTGATCATGTTATGGGTAACCTATATACTAAATACATAATTAATTGTTTTGTAACCTGGTTAAAATGGAAAAAAAATCCTGTTCAAACTGTTTTCATATTATATTGATTGTACCTTAATAAGTATTTAGTTTTTTGGATGATTATAGTTGGAATTTTGTGTTTAGAACCATTTTTGGATGTCATACGATGTGAAGAGATTACTGGCCCAGTAACAAGTTTAGCATTGATGTCAATTTATAAGTTTATAAATTATGGACTAATAAAAAAATGTAATTTAGAACTGCACAACATGATTTATTAAACTTAATTTAATAATAATATACATTTTTTAGGTGTTCCTGAGTCAAAATTATTGACAACTGTAGAAAATATTGCAGATGCAATTACTCACACTAGATTTTTGGGAACTGAAAAAACTAGTGATGCTATAGTATTAATGAAAACCTTACAGGTTTTATACTGCTTAATGATGTCTCCTGAAGGTGAATTTCTACCAAATGAAAGTGTTTGTGAGATTATGATGAGTTGTTTTCGTTTTTGTTTCGAAGTTAGACTGAGTGGTATGTTATAATATACTATGTTTAATAAATAACTATTTCATGTAAATTGTATGTTTGCAGAATTTGTCCGATCCTATGCTGAACATTGCTTGAAAGATATTATTCAACTTCTTTTTTCAAGACTAGTTACATTAAGTAAAGAACTGGGAAATTCAACAAAAGTCAGTAAAATTTAATTAGATGATTATTCAATTAGTATAAGATATTAAAAAAATATGATTTTCTTTCTTAGGTATTAGGACTCAACATGAAGAATTATGGCGACCCTCTGAGTAATTGTAATGAGAACGTGGAAAATACAGTGGACACAGTCAATTCAAGTGATGAAACACCATTACCGGAAGTATCAACTTTACCTCAAGTAAATGAATATAACTTTTTAAGAGGATGCCGCACACGCATTTGTTGTCTCTGTCTTACAAGTGCGTAACATATCAAATTTACGCTCAGCAAATCACTTTTATCTACGTTGGTTTAAAAAATTAAGCTAAATCGGCCTATTATGAAATTTATTCATAAGAACATTATCTATGTTTGTACGTGGGCTTTTTACAATAGTTCAATTTTCCATAATAGTTCAGTTTTTAAGTGAGTTATGGGCATTTTTAATTTAGGCTATATTATGTCCCCAAAACTTGCTAAAAATTTGCTGTTACTCTTAAGACTGAGATAATAAATGCGTATGTTAAATTAATGAGGTTAACGGACAAAAAAAAAAAAAATTATATACAGAAGCTTTAAAATACTGATGTTCCCACTGCATTATCTTAGTGCAATAATATTTCAAATTAAAATGTAATATTGGTTGAAAGTATTCATATTTATCCATTTATTATTAATACAATTTGTATACATTTCCATTAAATACCACTTTTTAAAAATTATCGTCTAACCATAAACTTTTGATTATTTAAATATTCTGAATTGTAAATTGTTATACAATGACCAAGATAAATTAATTATAACTAATGTGTTTGAAATTTTAGTGTGATTCAATTGTTATCACTGAAGCGTCAAAACTAGTCATAGAAAATGAAAGAGAAACTTCACCTAGTATTGAATTACCGACTGATGAATTACCATTACTAAACAATGGTAAGCTATTACATATATATTTAATCTCAAATAATAAATATAATAATTTATAACTTTTAAAGAAAATGAGACAGATTTAAATAGTGAGAGTCCAGTAGATGATGATAAAAAAGAATATGTGAATGGTCAAGGAGTAAGATTTACAACCCAAATACCTATACCTTACACTAGTAAGTAATTTTTTTTAACCATTTTAATGTTTTTGTTATCTCTACTTATTAGTTAATATTTTAATTAAATCTTTTAGAAGTTCCATACAATAGTGGCTGTGTTTTGGAGCTTATTAAGTTTCTTGTAGATGCTTGTGATCCTCATGATCAGCAAAATACTGAAGTAATGATTGGTGTTGGACTCAATCTTTTGGTCATTGCTTTTGAAGTGGGAGCATATGCCATTAAGTGCCACGTCAACATGCATTCCATTATAAAAGATCAACTATGTCGTAATATTCTTTCTGTGTGTGCACAAATCTAAGAAAATGTGGGTTTTCTTTTAAAATAGTTAAAAAATAAGTGAATTTGTTTTAGCTCTTGTCTCATGAGAAAATGCCAATATTCAGTTCAAGTCTTAGACTTGCTTTCTTAGTGTTTGAATCTATGCGTCAACATTTAAAATTTCAACTGGAATACTATATGACCAATTTAATAAACATAGTGGTCAATGAAAATTCGAAAATCCCATATGGTAAAAAAGAAATGGCCCTAAGTAAGTTTCACAATTATAATAAAATTCAAATATTACTAAATAAAATTGAATGTTAGAAATTAATTTTGTTTTATTACTCTAGAATGTCTTGTCCAACTATGGAAAATCCCAGGACTGGTTACTGAACTTTATTTAAATTATGATTGTGGACTTTATTGTTCAGATTTGTATGATGACATTACTAAGCTATTATCTAAAGCAAGTTATAATAAAATAAAATTTCAGATTTAATTATTTTCTTATAATTAATAATTAAAATATTGATTTTAGAATGTTTTTCCGTTCAATGATATCTACAGCACACATTTATTATCAATGGATGCTCTTTTAGCTGTGGTTGACTCAATTGAACGCCATTGCCATAATCGTACACAATTCACTCAAAAGTCAGAAAGCAGTTCAACATATGATGGTATAATTTAATAACTTATAACTTAGTTATGTACTTAAATTATTATTTTAATAAATTTAGTTTCTGAAGATCAAAAATCAGAATCTGAAATTAATTTGGAACGTTGGCAACCAGACTTCTCAATCAGTATTCCAAGTCATGAAGAATTAATGGCCATTAAAAGAAAAAAAAAGGTTAAATAATTTATTTAATGTTTTAAATTTACTGTTGCAAATTATAATACTACAGATACAATTTGACTTGAGCCATTTATTTTTGAATTATATTTAATGTTTAATGAATAATAATTGTTTTAATAATTTTAGCTTCTTACTTCGGGTACCGAGAAATTCAACACAAAACCAAAAAAAGGTATAGAGTTTCTACAAGAACATGGTCTCTTATCAACACCATTGAATCCAATCGAGATTGCTACATTTTTGAAAGAGAATCCTCTCTTGGATAAAAAAATGATTGGCGAATATATCAGCAACAGAAACAATGTGGATGTTCTTAATAGCTTTATTAAGTATGTCTTAAATTTTTATATTATAACTAAGGAAAGGATTTTATTTAAGTATGAAATAAAAATGTTTAAATATACATTTTTTTATTACTTAATAAATATTAACTAATAATATTGAAATGTTTAAATTGAAAAAAAGATAGAATTGATTATAAAATTATATTATTATCATAAATTATCATAATATAGATGATACAATCTAATATTTATAATTCTGATCATCACCATAGTCTGGAAGAGGAAAACAATGAAAAACAACACATAGTTCGAAATTTTAAATAACAGCGATTTGATCTTAACATTGCTTTATAATGACTGAATGACCTCTCCACACCATCGGAAGTGATAGGTGTTTATTTCAAACACATTAATTCTTTTAGAATGTATTTGATTTCTGAATTATTTTTTGGAGTTTTGTTTAACAGTTTATCCCTCATCGATATTATAGCTTTAAAAGCTGGGTGATTCTCCAATATATTTTGTAATGTGAAATTAGTTAAAACTCCAATATTTCCAATAACACTTTCTAATTGCTTTACGGCATTTTCAATTATTTCTAGACTTCGTTAATGGCATTTTAAATGTTTCTGATTTTGAGATATATATCTTTAAATATTTGTACGAGACTTGGCACTATTAAAGAAAAAAAATGTATGTTTGAAAATAATGAATCACCCTTAGAAAATTGAAATCTTATTGTTCTGCAACACAACGAAAACCATGTACTAGACAAGTTAAATTAACCATTCTTGAATAAAATGTGTCCAACACATTTTCCGCTTAACGAAAATACAGTGCAATGTCTGCTAAAAGTAAAAGAATATTATTCTGTATTGTACCATAAGACCACAAAATATCCATTGTATGATTTTTTTTTTTCAAAATTAAAATATTCAATAAAAGCCGACACTTGAGCACAGGATAATGTTCTTACCCAAAAGTTTGAATAATAGCTCAATTTACTCTTTAATATCAAAACTGACAGCAGGCTACTGAAACTAGGTAATGACAATTTGTTATGTCTTACAAGTGTAAGCATTGCCCAATCTGTTCCCTTAATATATTTTATAATGTTTTAATTTCATGGCTTGTTTTTAATAATTTGTTGTTGTTTATTGTTTAGTTCTTTTGATTTGTGTGGTACACGTGTTGATGAAGCACTTCGAATGTATCTTGAAGCATTTCGACTACCTGGAGAATCCCCTCTAATATCATTTGTATTAGAACCATTTACAGAATATTGGCATGTTAGTAATTATTAATATTTATTATTAAGGACACTACACCCTCATGTGTTGTCTCAGTCTTACAAATGTACAACATTCCAAAAACTGTTTTGCGCAAGATAGAACCACTCTGGCTGTAGTGATAGTCAAGACTACAAATTTGTATGTAATATTATATACTCTGTTCAAATTAAAATCATTAGCTGGGGGCCACCAGGTTTGTTGGGCGGCTGTCAGATGCATGTTAGACACTTAACTTACCTAGTCAATTCATAGGGAAGTTGAAAACATTATCCGCGAAATATTGTTTTTATTTTTTTGACATCACTTACTCCAAAAAATTTTCTTATTGTTTTAAAATCCATTATTTTTGTGTTTTTAAAACTTGAAAACTTTTTTTCTAGTTCCAATATCGAAAAAATAAAAACGAAATTTCACAGCCAAAGTTCTATTTTGCATAAGTAAACATTTTGTTTCTTAGTTTTGACCGAAGCATTCTTGGTTCTTTCCTGCTCGAAACAGTTTTTGCTGTTTTGTATTTGTAAGACTGAGACAACACATGCGGGTCTAGCTCATCTTAAATAATATTTTCAAATTAATATTGTTTTGTATAATTTTTAGAAATGTAATGGGGAACCTTTTGCGAATGCTGAATGTGCATTTTTATTAGCATATGCAATTATTATGCTAAATGTCGACCAACACAATCAAAACGTTAGACGGATAGATCAACCAATGACACCAGATTCATTTAAACGTAATTTAAAAAAATTGAATGGTGGGGAAGATTTTGATCACACAATGTTAGAAGAAATATATAAAGAAATCAAGTAAATAAATTAACAATTTATTGGGTGTTAATAATACCTTCTATGCTTGTTTGTAATCGCCCCACTACTACGCCATACAAAATGCATCATCTTACCATCAGGAGTGATACCAAACCTCCAAAACAGTGTTTAACTTTTTTACTATGCTCGTTGTACTTTCAATAAGTTCACAAACTATTGTAAATTGTTTACAATTAATAGTAGTACATTAATAATTAATATTTCCTAATTACACGTAAATAAACATTTAAAAAACAGAGTAATTCCTAAGGTTAGGTTAGGTTAGGCTAACCTAACCTAACCTAAAGATTCTTATTTTTGATTTTCTTTTGTCACAAATTTTATTTTGTTTTAAATTATGATTTTTATTGAAAACATTAATTGATAGTATTAAATATTACCATGAATAGCCCATCAAAATGTATTTTTTATGATATTTTAAAATAATCATATAACATATTTTGTAAGATAGGTATGCATTTGGAACCAGTAACTACATATACAATATAACGACAGGCTTACAACATGCTAATATGATTAAAATAATATATAACAATTGGAAGTAACATATATGTATATTTCCCTTAAGTAAGTCACATATGAGACTTACCTATCAAGATTCAAAGAAATAACAATCTCAAATGACAAATAACAAATTGTTAGATTAAAGAGTAAAAACTGTTGAAATTCGGTTGCGTGGTGGGGGGGGGGGACATACATTTTATATAGCTCTGTAGCAAAGCGATAACAAACCTGTTTCATAATTTTGTTCCTTGACCATACCAACCACTAATTTAATGAACATTTTTAGATCCAATGAAATTGTTATGCCTGCAGAGCATACTGGTGCTGTTTTAGAAAACTATTTGTGGAAAGTTTTGTTAAGACGTGCATCTGGTAAAGATGGATCTTACATACAAGCACCTAGTGGAGTTTTTGATCATGAACTATTTTCTATTTGTTGGGGTCCTACTTTAGCTGCATTAAGTTTTATATTTGATAAGTCAAGTCATCAAACAGTTTATACCAGAACAATATTTGGTCTTAGGTATGTATCATAAAGTTTTTCACTTATTTAAATAGACATTAGTCACATACATAGCTACATGCATACATAGCATACTGTAACTTAATTTCATTACTAATCTTTCAGGAAATGTGCATTTATTTGTGCCCATTATGGAATGTGTGCTGAATTTGATAGCCTCATCATATCATTGTGCAAGTTTACTAATTTACAGAATAACCCTGATGTGTGTATAGTATTCAAATATTTTATTAATATTAGTTATTTAGAGACATTTTTTGTATAAGTATGATAGCATTTTGAAATTTGAATAGAACTTATAGTGTTTTTGATTTGACGGACTTTTTTGTTTACAGTACAAAAATGTATTTGATTTGACCAATATTCAGTGAACTGGTGCAATATTTTGTATTCAATTTGATTGTATTGATGACACTTGTGTTCACTCAATGTGCACTGTGTGCATTGTGAGTGCTCATATTTTTAGGAACTCCAATTCTCTAATACAGGGTCAAATTTTGTTTTTGTATTCAATCTAAGAGGACATCATACTTGCATGTCATACTAACAGATAATATATCCAAATATACGTCGAGCAGTTCCAATTTCGTGTTAGCTTAAATATTAGAGTGAATTGACTTATTATAAAATGTTAATATAAGATTATTTTCTAAGGCACATCTTAGGCTTTCATTGATATTATTATTTTTAATTAAGTTATGACCTTTTTGAAACTGTACAATTTTTGTAAATTTTAAAATGATCATAACTTACTTAAAATTAATACAAAGAAAAGCCTACGTTGTGCCCTAGATAATAAAATTACCTTTGAATTTTATGCTGGGTCAATTCACTCTAATTTTAAAAATAACAGATAAAAATAAATTAGTGTTAACGTAAAATTTGCTATGTTGTACGTTTTTAAGACAAAAATAATACATATTGTTATGGTTACCATATTTTCTTAATGAAAACTCTTGCAGAACTAGTGTAACACTCATGGAGTGGTATAATTACATGCTGCACTTTTAAATTGTCCAATCAAAAACGCTATAGAACCTAAATAAATCATATTTTTAATTATTAGTTTATAAATGTTAAATTAAAATTAAAACATTGTATTATTTATAATCTTGTTGATTTAGTGTCCAGAAAATGTTACTATACTGTTTGGAAGTAACCCTAAATCACGACTGGCTACTCGCACTCTTTTTAGTCTAACCCATATGTATGGTGATATTATTCGTGAGGGTTGGTCTAGTATATTTGACATAATCTTACAACTATATAAATGCAAACTATTACCTACCATATTAGTTGAGGTAATTTTCTTACTCTATAAATGTTATTATGATACAATGTATAATATAATTGAATGGATTTTTTTAGTCTGAAGATTTCCTTGAGCTCAGTGGTAAGGTTTCATTGATACGGGAAACAGTGGCCCCAGGTTCACAAAAATCAGAATCTGGATTGTTTAGTTCACTTTACTCTTACATTGCTTCTGGAGGTGGTAAGTATATAGCATAAAAGCATTTACGTTTTAAGTAAAAAATAATTTTTTTAATTCACAAATTTTATGAATTTAGAGACAATTAATCATAAAATACAGACATCAAATGAACCCGAGTTGATTGTTACATCTAGAGACTGTATATCTGAGAGTCGCTTGGAAAGTCTTATTACAGAATCTAAATTTCTCACTATAGAATCATTGGAAGCTTTAGTAAAAGTATGTGTGTTATATATCTATGAATGTCAATAAATTACATAACATAAACATTTTTATTCTTCAGGCGTTAATTGGAACATTTTATAAACCAGAGGGTGCGTTAGCACTTGGGTCACGAGAAAGTGAAAATGCTGCTAGTTTCTTATTAGAAATGCTTCTCAAAATAGTCTTACAAAATCGGTGAGATTTGCTTGATGTATTATTATTTTCTATACTAAACTAAATATAAAACCACAGGGATAGAGTAAACACCCTATGGGAAGCAGTTAAACAACATCTGTACAACCTAATAACAGGTGCTATTGAACATAATCACATGTTTCTTTTGGAACGCACTGTTGTTGGACTAATGAGATTAGCATCTCGCCTTATGAGACGCGAAGAAATAAGTTCAATGGTAATCTAATTTTGTACTTATAACACTTTTTAAACTTTGTATGTTTTATCTGTTATTTTTACATTGTATTCTGTAGGTATTGCAGTCATTAAATGTTTTACTATTGCTCAACAAAAATGATTTACAAATAGTTGGCCGTCAAATAGCATTTGGAATGTATGAGTTATTAAAAATGTGTGCTGCAAATATTCATACCAAAGATGATTGGACATTAATCTTTTCGATTTTAGAGTATGTTGGTGCTGGAATTGTTGTATCTAAAAGTAATAATATAGGTATGTTTCTATTCAAAAAATTCCTCTGCATAGAATCTTAAAAATTAAAATCAATTATTGACAAGGTTTTAATGTTTAATAGATAATCGGTCTGATAATGAAGTGACAAGTATAAGTGATAGTAATGATGACAGTGGCTTAGACGTAAAATCAGTTAATAATGTATCAACCCCTTCGTCGTCACCTCCAGATAATAAATCAGATTGGTTAAAGGTAAATACATTTCATGCTATGTTTAATAATAATTTCATATAATAATATAATAATCATGCAAATATTTGTTTACATGTAGATTGAAACAAATGCAGGGGCATTAGAAATCTGGCCAGATTGTTCAACATTTAAACGTCATGATGCATTATCTTTTGTTAAATGTTGTGAATGTCTGGCGTTTTTAGTGCGTAATATTGCCCATATTACACCATACAACTTTATCAAATGTGTTTCAGTCATAAAAAATTTTGCTCGAGCCAGTTTACAATCAAGTATTATACATTTTTAATACTTTTTTTTTTTGAATTCATGCTCAAGTTTATTTATTATAGATGATAAAAACATACGCCAAAAATTAGGCAACAAACCTAAAACCAATTTGAAATCAAATAAAAATAAAATGACTAATCCATATGATGCAGACGATAGTGACCCCGAAGACATTCCAAGTAGTTACACTCAAGTTTCTATTCAGGTAATTCCTTCATTTTCATTTTAATGTATATTACGATTCTTCATAAATTATTTTAATGTTTTTAGCTTCTTGACCTTATGCACACACTGCATACAAGTACTGCAGATATATATCGTTGGTGGGCTGAAGAAAATCCAGACACAGAACTTATATCTTTGTGGAGTTATGGGTGGTGTCCTCTACTCCAAGGCATAGCCAGCCTTTGTTGTGATTGCCGACGTGATGTGAGTAAATCAGTGAATCAAACTACCAATTTTAGTGCGTAAAATAAATGTTTTACATTATGTAATTGTACGCAGGTGAGAATGAGTGCTGTGACATACCTACAACGTGCTCTTCTAATGCATGATTTAGCCACGCTCAACGGTGATGAATGGGAAGCATGTTTCCGCAAAGTCTTGTTTCCATTGATGAACAAACTGTTAGAGTCTGGAACCGACATTGATCCAAGCGGTTTAGATGAAACAAAAATGCGGTCTGCCACTTTGTTATCAAAGGTTATTATCAAATAATAATTAATATAATAATATTATAATTTAATTTTAAATTAATATTTTAATAATAATTATTATTATTTTGACATTTTTGGCATTAGATCCTTGGTAATTCAACCAGTGGCGTCATAAAAGTTTTTAATAGGAGCGAACAAAAGTTTTGACTAGTCTATATTACTAAACCAAAAATAAACAGATCAGTTTGCTTGCAAGCTAGTTTTCACATTTTCCACCAATATTTTTATCTTCATATCATTCCCATCTTACATAACTGTATACGTGCACGAGGAAAACATAGCCTCATTTTATATATTTTCGAAAGGGTTGATTAAGTTAAATTACAATTTGAAACATGATTATGGCCCAACAATTGTATGCTGAATTTACAATTAGAAAAGAGAAAATGCTCAACCTTGCCCTCCATTCAAATGACGCCACTGAATCAATTGTAAAATACATTTGAAAAAATTGAATTTCAATTTTCATGAATTTTAAATTTATAAAAAAAATATGAGAATTATGTAACTGCTAGAAAGTAGTATTGTTTCTTTACACAAAATATATCATGCTTATTTATTAGTTACCAAGAGTTGAGTATAGAATTGAAATGTATTCTCTCTTTTACTTTAATAAATCAAACATTGTCTCTGTACACTAATCAAATGTAAATTATGAATATTTTCATAGGTTTTCTTACATCATTTGACTCAGCTTCAATCATTACCAACATTTGTTGACTTATGGATCACTGTTCTAGACCTGATGCACAAGTTTATGATATCTGATAATAGTGACACTCTGGTATAAAATTAATTAATTAATACCTAATAATTTTTAAATTTGTATAAATTTTTAACCTTCATGTTTTGTGTATTCTTATCATTAGAGTGAAGCAATTCCAGAAACCTTGAAAAATATGTTATTAGTAATGTTAAACGGAAAGACAAACAGTAAAGAAGAATTGCACAGTAAACAAGCTTTCTGGGATGCTACTTGGACTAAAGTAAATACGTTTTTACCCCAAATGTCCAATGATTTGCTTCAACATCACAATAGCAGACAAATTAAAATGCAAGATCATGGTAATAAATAACAGTTATAATAAGAAACAAAAAATTAAAAATTAATATTTTTGTTTAGTCTCACAATTTACAGATACCTCATCAGATTTATCAGAAGTAACTCGTCCTGTTGTACCACTTGGACCAAGTGTTATAATGCCTCTTGGATCTCCAACTCCTTTGGAAGTAACACATGAAGTCTTGAATTCCCAATCACCCGTTTTGTCTAGTCCAATTCTTTATCAAAATGTCAATCAAAACGCAGTGATGAGTGTACAGAATTTTGTCAATCATACTCCACATGTCGAGTAAATATGCATATATAAATATTTTGCGCATACAAAAAATAAGTACAAACATTTTTCTTTCAAAGGGATGATCAAAATGACGAACTGATTGCAGTCATTACTACTGTTCCAATTTCTCAACCTTATATACTCACTAATGAGAGTGAAGAATCTGAAAACAGTAAGTATATAATATTAACTTAAACATTGTTATCAAAATATTTATGTATGCATGTCTGTATATTACATTTATTTGATTATGTAATTGAAGTTATTGAACAGATATAAACAGAAAAACTATAATTTTACTTAATTTAATATTTTATTATTATTACTCATTTTATACAAAGATAAATTGCCTTAAGAGGACGTTGCACCTGCATGTGTTTTCTCTGTCTTACACACATACAACCTGGCAAATGTTGGTTCATTACTTTCAATAGTGTGCTGTTCGTTTTGATATTAAAGGGTATTTACCTATTATTAAACTTCTAGGTAAGAACATTTTCTGTGTTCCCTCTTTGGTTTTTTACAATATTTTAATTTTTAAGTGAGTTATGAGGATTTAATGTATTAATATTTGAAAATGCTCATACTTCACTTAAAAATTTAAATATCTTAAAAAACCAATGAGAGACCACAGATAATGTTCTTACCTAAAAGTTTGATAGTAGGTTGCTTCACTTTAATGTCAAAACATATAGTACGTTATTAAAACTAGTGAACAAAAATTTGCCATGTCGTTTGTGTGTAAGGCGGAGAAAATACATGCCAGTACTTTTAAGAAAATTTCATGTGCCCTTAATTTATTATTTAAATATAATGTGAATTATTTATTTTTCAGGTAATAACAAACCAGATTGTGAAGTAAACCAACAACTGCATTGAAATAGTTATACATTTATATTATTATTATTATTATCATTCACTTTTTATGTTCAATGTTTTGTATTATATTATACATTTTCTATTTGTTCATATTATTTTATTTAATATATAATATTATCAAGTTAAAATTGCTTTGGTGGTAATTTTGATTTTACTTTCATTTCAACATACATTTTAGTTGTAAAGAAAAGATATTTTCATAAATTGTGCTTATCAATTATTCATTTTTAATTTACATTTTGAATAGTTTTCCTTCAGAAATATTACAAAAAGGTAGTTGATGAATATAAAATATATTTCAGTGGAATATTTATGATAGGGGGGTAGAATCCGCTCCACAGTAAATTTATCAAATTACTATATGTTGATGATAAAAAAGAAGAATATACCATAAACAAGATAAATGATATCTTAATAATGAGAAACTGTAATATTTATTATACCTACACAAAATAGATTTAAAATCTTTTATTTAAAAATTGTCGATATCTTTGATACACACGGTAATTTTATGCTATCGTATAGTATGTGTTTTGACGATAATGTTACCAGTGTAGTATAAGTATTGTGTAGGTTTTGAGTCAAAAAGTAATTTGCTTAATATAATATAAAAATAAAATGTTCAATGAAAAAAACTATGAATAAAAATTGAGTCTAATCTAATGTATAATATTAATGTTTGTTTGTTTGTCCTCTATAAACTCAAAAACTACTAGAACAAAATATTTTACTTACATTTAGGTAATAATATATTTTAGAATATTTTTTATTTTTATATTAATATTTATGGATAAAACCATTTTTAATCAACTAAGAAAAGCTATTTATTTCAAGTAACAACTGTCAATTAAACTAGTTAAGTTCATAAATTGATCAGAAAGTTAACTAGTTAAGTTGAGAGAAAATTAACTTTTTAACTACCTAGTTAATGCCCACATTAGTAGTAGTATAATAATATATACAAATCGATATCTGAGTCGTTCTTATACTATTATAATAGTATTATACCTACCAGAAAGGCAGTGCTGAGTGCAACAGGGAGACCTGACAAATGAAATAACTTTTATTTTTACATTTTTTTTTTATATGCTCGTACCCTCCGTAGGTTATAAAAATGTAATTGTTATAATTGTCAAAATATTTGCCCCCTCCCCACTCAAAAACTGAAATGCCACTGGTGTGGCCACCGTGTTTATGTAGCCGTTGTAAATGACCGGCACACCAAAAAAAAATCTGTGCAGTGCGAAATCGTCGCAAATGCTGAATGACGTGAACAATTTAAAATATTGAAACTAATATTTAAAGGCGAGTCTGCTGGATTTGGCTTGGCCATTTTTGGATACGTAAAGACTACATCTGATGATGACAATATTTGAGAATATACTAGGTATCTAAATCTGTTATTTTAATTTATCCTTGGTAATTAGGTACCGGCTAATTGCATCGAAGACAAGAACAGTTTCGTGGTGGAAGTAACCATGGATGATGTTTGGTGTTTAAATAATAATTAAAAGCAAAACGAATACAATTTAATACCTAGTACGTTTAATTATTATAGTTCTTTACACGCAAAGGAAGACGGACTCTCGCTTGTTTTTGTTTTTTATCGATTTTTATTGCAAATTAATGACGTTTCGGAACAGTTTCGGTGTCGTGTTAACGCGGTGGTTGGTGGAGGACGATGGCGATGTGGCAGACAACGAGTGTTCCCTGGACGAGATCGATGACGCTGCAGTCGTCGTCGTCGTAGTCTTCGATTTCGTGCGGCGGCGGCTGCGACTGTGCAACTGCTTCGACCGGACGAGCAGAGGACGCGGATCATGCAGGAAGCTCGAACCATCCTTAAACGACTCGAATTCTCGATAATCATCCAGGAGATCGGCGCCGGGAGCTCATCAGACCTAACCTAACAGTCAGCGTAAGGAAGAAAACCTCAAAGGTCGAGTGGCTCGAAGGCCTGGTTGAGCTTGGCGCCGGGAATCGCGGCGTCCCCGTTGGCGGAACCGAAAGTCGGACAACCGTGAACGTAACGTACATTTACATTCTAATATAATATACAACATATATATATTGGTACGACGCAAAGCTGGGCGAGTTAACCAATGTTTTTAACTAGTTAAAGTTAATAGGTAGTTAAAGTTAAATTTTAAAAAAGCAAGTTAATTCGAAGTCAGTTTTAAGGTACAAATGAATTTGAATGTCCAAGTTGAGTTACGAATTTTCAGGATTATAATAACTTAAATTAGGTTAGCAGCTAAGTTAGGTTTAAACTTTTATAGTGAAATGTTATGTACCTATTTAAAAAGGTTTTTATATATATAACATTACACGATAAACCTCGAACGGAATATAACGGAATCACTCTTTAGTCTTTACCAACTAAATTATTATACGTATAGATGTTAAATAAAATATATATATATTGAAAATCATACTAAATAATACATTCAAACGATAAATTATATGAATAAAAAATAATATTATATACATGTAATACTGAAAATATATTGCAACGATAATTCTAGTTGTATAATCACATTTAAAAAACAGTAGATATATAGGTATAATATAGTACTTATAATATAACATCATAAAAAATAATACACAAAATATAAAAATCAAAATAATTCTTAAGTGTACATGTCGAAATACACACAAATTGAATAAATTAATCTATCAAAAAGTATGATAAATAATATATGTAATAAGCAAAACAATATATAGGTATTTGCATAAAAAGTGAAATAGATTTATAATTTGAAAACAGATAGAAGGTACCAAAAAAATATATAATATGTAAAAGGCAAAACAATGTGTAGGTATTTGCATAGGTTCATAATGTATAATAGTTAATATATTAATAATGACTAAAAAAAATGTTCTGTTACCTAAATATATTCATAATTTCGGGTTATTGATTGAAAATTTGGATTTTAACAAACTGTGAATTTGCTCTATATGATTATTTGTTCTATGCAATTTGTCCATAAAAATGTCTGTTTCAATAATTCTTAACCAATATCATTGATTAGATATAAAATTTGAATTTATTATTTATATATCTTTTAGATAGTTCATCTTAAATAATCGTATTAATATTTTTTTTTTGTAATTTATTCTTCTATTCAATGCATTTATTTTTAAACATATTAAAAATAATGGTTAAAATAAAATAAAAAGTAACTGAGCTAAGTCAAAGTCAGTTTTAAAAAACAAATGATTTTGAGTTACGAATTTTCAGGATAATAATAAATTAGGTTAAAAGCTAAATCCATTATATATATGATATTATAGTGAAACCTTATAACGGAATTGCTTGGTACCAACTAAATCATTGTGCATAGACTTTGAAATTTGAATAAAATATATGTATTTGAAAGTCTGACGAAATAATATTCAAACAATATATTATATGAATAAAAAAATATTATTATCATGGGTGTCCCCAGACATTTTTCTAGGGGGGGCAAAATTAATTTAAAAAATAAATGAAAATTTTTTTATACATTTTATTTATAGTAAATTATTATATTCCGTCATTATTAAAACAATGAATTAAAACATTACAATTAGGTAGGTATTATTATTACAATTAAAACATAAAAAAATATTATTATACATCATTCTTTTTCATTAAATATAAATTTAAATCTCCGTGGACACTCTCTACCAAATTGTGTCAGAGCATTTTCAATAAATTTTTCTTTATTTGAATTTACTTTTTCTTTATGAACACTCAACATGCATATTCCATTCAGTCTATCATCGCCCATCGTTGATCGTAACCATGTTTTAACACGCCTTAATGTACTAAAAGAACGTTCTGCTGTACAGCTTGTAGCCGGAAAAGACAAAAATATTTCCAAAGCAACAGCTATACTTGGAAAAAACGTATAGTAAATCAATATCTTGGCAGTCCTTATTTTGCCAAAAACTGTACCAACTTTCCACTTCAGCTTGGAGATTATCAATTTTATAGAAATCAGCAAATTTTTCAATGCTTTCAAAATACATTCTTTCTTATTTTTTTCTACATTACTTTCTCCAATTTCTTAAAAATGTTGGGGTGAAGATATTGTAGTAAAAATGCATTATCATTTTTTTTATCAAAACGTTCTTTTATAGATTGTAAAATTGAATCAATATATGGTATAAAAATTGAAACTCCGGTAATAATCTTCACAACTCTCAGTTTCATGGTTCGCTCTTAGTGACTGTTTATCATTTGGAATTTTACCAATTTCTGTGGAAATAACATTATTCCAGGGGGGGGGGCAAGTGCCCCGTCTTGCCCCCCCCCCCCGGGGACGCCCATGATTATTATAAATAAAGTAAATCTATCAAAAAGTATGATAAATAAAATTTGAAATAACAAAACAATTTTTAGTTATTTGGATGAAAACTGCAAAAAAATGAAATTAATTTATAATTTGAAAACAAATAAAAGGTACGAAAAAAATATATAATATGTAAAAGACAAAACAATGTATAGGTATTTGCATAAAAAACTGCAATTACTGCAATTGACATAACAAAATAAATAAAGCCACACTAATATTGCTCTAAATGTATCTGTACAGTATGTACAATGTATTTCAATTTTCAATTGTAATTGCAATGCGTACGTTGTTTTTTGACCATCACTCGGATGTTCCGGATATTTAGGAGCTACTGTGTGTATTAAACTCCTGGTATTACGACCTAAGATAGTTATAATAGAGTTAAAATAATTTAAGAGACTCTAAATAGACATTTGTTGTTGTCGATGTTTTACGAGGGCTTAACATTGCAAATTTACGCACATCAGATTACGTGTAGATTTCATAGACAAGGGACATTAGCTTTATACATACGATTTTATTTATTTTTGATAACGGTTCGATTACGATAAAATAGTACTCATTAAAGTTTGCTTGTGTTTCTCTTAAATGTATTTTTTCATTTCGATACTCCCGAGGAATGACATGTCGTTTTTCCGCTGACAACCGGGTCCGATTATTTCATACAATACGTATGTTCGTTGGTATATTACTTATTTATGCCTTTATTTCATTCGATCTACGTTCTGTCATCAGGTGTTTCACAGTAAGACAGGACCGGATTAAGGTTTTTGCCGCCCATAGGCTGAAATAAATTTACCACTTAATTTACATAGGTATTGATATTTTACTAATATCTCAACGTAGTTTTTGGGTCACACCAAAAAAAAATTTGCCGCCCTAGGCCTTAGCCTACGCGGTAATACGGCCCCGCAGTAAGGGTAACTTCACATGAGGTGCGTTCTATATGTGTTTGGTTTTTCATAATCTTATTTTGTCGTTATATAGATATTTGACATTTATAATTATTACGTAGTCGGAAATGCAGTCGAATATATCTGTTTGACTATCACGTCTTACTCTTAAGATCCTGTGTTTATATTTCATACATAATAAGTCAACGATAAGTTATTTTTTTCTAATTTGTTTTAATTTTGCTGTGGAAAAAGCTTGAAAAAATTTAATTTAGTTACGTAATAGGAACATTATTTTGGGTTATCGATCTATCATAGGAATCTTATACGTATTTGATGTACTACTTTAACCTTCTATTATTTTATCTGAACCGAGGTTGCCCCTTCCGCAATATTAAATTATTACAACAGACTACCTACCCATTCCCTGCAATTATTTTATGTTTAAGAAGAGATGTTTTCTTGCGAATCCCTCTAGTAATTGTTCCCTCAAGTTTTTAAATTTGTAATTTTGATTTTCAGTTATAAATATTTTAAAAATCGAAATGTAAATCAAACACGTTTTAATTCCTATATAACAATGAAGGTCTCAACTACCACGACAGCTGCGCAGGGCTCTTAAAAAGTACTGTTTCGATCGTCATCGTCCTCACATCTACGTACAATATTTTTTCATATCTATATTAAACAAAATTATAGGTACTAAAAATGTGCTCTTGTCGAGAATTAAGAATACTTTTATTTTTAGTTAAATTATAATAGACGTACTTAGAGTAACACGTATAAACATTCATTTATGTGTGTCTACGTGCCGCTTCAGCGGGTTTTTTGATGTATATATGACTTGCCACTTATTTCTCACATTACTCAAGACTCAAGTATATTTTTTTGCGCGTCTTGGATGACTGGAGGTATGGGACTTTTGGCTTTCCTCATTTTACGGTGCCTACACGGAGTTTAAAGAGAAACTGTGTTGTAGTGTGCCGAAGACCTGCAGGCTGCAGCGTACAAATACCTATATGGTTACATCGTGAAACAAGAGAAAAAAACACAATAAAATATTTATACGTTAAGACAGAGAGAGGTAGAGAGAGAAAGACTCAAGATACGGTTTCCGAGCCGCAATCGTTCGCTAGGATCCGTCTATTTTCCGAGACAACTGTTTTTAAAATATCACACATTTTCAGTACAGTGGCCTCACTAATCTGGTCATTGCTAATCCGGACATCCGGATAATCCGGAAATCTATATTTCGTACTTTAGTACTCATGTTTAATGTATATATTCGGGAACACCCATGATTATAAGATATTATCTTTTCGATATGTATTGTGTTTTCATTATTTTTTCAAGTGAGTTCAGCCTTATTTTCTTTAAATTTGTATTGATATATTTACATATGTAATCAGGGGCGTCATTTGGGGGATTCAGACTATACATTGGCAGCCCTATTTTTTAAATGTTTGTTTGGCCAATGGCCCGTATAAAATGTTATAATTGCGCCGTCGCGCGTCGCGTCGTCGATAAAATGTAAGATGCAAACGCGCTGTAATGGTGCGAGTTTTTCATAAGAACCTATTGTCCTATTGAAGTATTGAATACATCTATTACAGTATTACATCTTATCAAAACTCGTTGCGTAACCTTTCTATTTATAAGAAACAATGTGCCTCTGCCGCGCCGGTGTGAGAGATCGCAAGTGGTTTGCAACTCTCCGTTGTTTCGTGGTCTCATTTCTCCCACTACATAGACCGTCGACGACCAGTTTTATTAACATTGTTTAATCTGGTGTATACTTAATAGTTAATAATATTATCTATTATTTTTATTTTTATGTTGGTGACAATGATTAGGCAATGAATATTTTTAAAATAATATATAACTTTTTTTATTTATATGAAATTGGTTAAATATGTTTGAAAAAAAAAGTATTAATGAGTATTTGAATATTAAAATGTGGGGATATGAGTGAGCGAAGCGATCGGAAATTTTTTTAAGTTCCGCTAAATAAACAGGATATATAAATGGACTGGTGGAGGGATCAATTGGCCTGATTCAAATGTTTGCATCCCTATTGAAAAGTTGAAATGACGCCCCTGTATGTAATACATTTATCACTATAATAGTATAATGACAATAATGATGTGTAATGTAAAATTGTTAATCAATAAATTTTGAATTTGTATAAATACATGAGGTATTTTTTGTTTACATTTATTAGTAAGTTAAAAAAACGTCATTCCATTTAATCCTGATTTTCGATAATCCGGATAGCGTCCGGACCCATCTACAGTCCGGATTAGCGAGACTCTACTGTATTACAAAATTCAGTACTCGGTGGTTGAGCAGCTGAATATTTTTCTTGGACTTAAAGCTGTTACTAAAGCCAATGCTCTCATTTTTACTTCGTTTATACCTTTATTTGGACATTTTTTGACTGTCATTGCTAAACGTTTGAAAGAAAATCATTTTGCTGTAATTTAAAAAACTATTGCACTTACTTTTCTACTAACACCACGTTTAATTTATCTGATTTGGATCGTATCGAAATCTTTTTATCGACATTCATAAAAAAAAACTAAAATCAGTGGAATATTATCTGAGCGAAAACGATTACTTTTATATTTATTACTTTTTGGAAATTTGTATTGAAAATAATACAAAATAACTGTATACGTGTCAAAAAAAAAAAATATATATATAAATATATTAAATATTTTAATAAGTTTAATAATAATAATATATGGAAAATAGTTTATAGTTATTTGCATGAAAAATACTCTCCAGCTCTGATCGATAGGTAGGCTCTCGTTGTTGCCCCTGATGAATTACATGTTGTCACCGGTCCAGTCGTACACCTGAAAGTCGGGACGGACTTGAATATTTATTATTGTACATTTAGATATAAAAATGTACATTTATGATGAAACCATTTTGGTTTTTTTACTGGAAATGAACACATACAACAAAATATTGAAGTCAAACCTGGAACGTCTTGAGTGGACGTCTAACGCCCCTGCCTCGTTTTTTTTACCCTCCTCTTCCTCGTTGGCCTCCATCGGCGTCTTCACGCACTGCCAAATCGTGTTGTCAATGTTTATTTATCTATTTATTAATCCACTAGCACCGCCGGAGTGTCTACATCCGCTGCATTTCTTCCGTTCTCGCTGTCTCGCTGTCTAGACAATTGTTAACGGCGGCACTGCCGCCCATCTATATTCTTTTCGATTTTGGGCACGGCTTTTGGAAACGATTTTTAGTGCCGGACCACTTTTATGATCGATTTTACGGTTCCCGAATCCATTTCAGATGACCGCAAAAATATTTTATACCTACTATAGACAAGATGTTTCAAAATGTAATTGTATTACTGTAAGTAGCAACAACATAAAAACATGTTCCGCAGAAAATCTGCTCAAAAATAAATGAAATACTTATGACGTGTTTTAATTCGTTTTAATATGTGAGACTTGAGTATTAATAATGTACTCGAGAAAGAAATTACCGTGAAAACTGCAGAATGCATGAATTTGAAATTCGAATACGCTTTCGAGCACGTTTTCATACAAGAGACCGGGAATTTATTGTTGAGGTTTTAAATATTCAATTTTGAATTAAAAGAATTAATTAAATTTTTATTTCAATTATAAGAATTAGAAAATTAGAAAGTAGGTTTTAAAAATAGTAATTTATTTGGATTTATTTCTATACAATTTGTTACTGTTTATTCATATAGTAATTTAATCAAAGAGAGTCAACATTTTTATTAAAGTTATTCCAATATGGTTTATTATTCATTAGATAATGTCCAGTAATGTTGAAATAAAACACAATAAGTAGTAATATTATGCTTCAGACTAATGGCGAATCCACCTTATTTAATTGGACTCAAATTAAATTAAATTAAATTAAATTGTTAATATTGTCTAAAATATGAATAATACAGTTTATAAGCTTTGATTACAGACATACAAATTTATTAAGAATACTTCTTTTAAAAAGTCGTTCTTGTACCTAAAAATGATGTTATGTGAGAAATTGATAATTTGAATTTAGATTATTACAAACCAGATTCGACATCGACATTTCTGTTGACGGAAAAATATAGGCACAGTTACATAATAATACAACGTATATTCGCTATCATCGTTTTTTTGCGAATTCAATGGCAGTCGGGTATATTAATGGATTTATAAAAAATGGTTTGTTCATATCTAACCTAATTATGCACTGTACTTACGTAGACGTTTAATAAAGTATATGTATTTTGAACGTCATATACGAAATAATGTTCAAACAATAAACATAATAAATTTATATAAATATATTCATAGACATTCTAATACGACAATTATATTGCAACAATAATTCTAGGTATATAATAACATATCAAAAACCGGTAGGTAGGTATTATATAGAATAATAAAACACGTCATAAAGCATGAAAAATCAAAATAATTGTTAAGTATACATATCAAAATACAAAATAATTAGATACGTTAAATATTTCAAAAACTATGATGGATAATATTTGAAAAAGCAAAACAATTTATAATTATTTGCATAAAAACTGCAAAAAATGAAATAAATTTATGATTTGAAAATAGATAAAAGTTACGAAAAAAATATATATGCAAAAATCAAAACAATGTATTGGCATAGGTTTTTCATGTGTAATAGTTAATATATTAGGGACTAAAAAAAATGTTCTGTTACCTAAAAATATTGATCATTTCGAGTTATTGATTGCAAGTTTAGATTTTAACATACTGTGAATCTGTTCCATATGATTATTGATTATTTGTTCTATGCAATTTGTCCATGGACAAAAAACTTCTGTTTCAATAACTTCTTAACCGATACTATCTATGATTGGATATAAAATTTGAATTTATCATTTATATATTCTTCTGATAGTTCATTTCAATTAATTGTATTAATATTTAATATTTTTTTTTTGTAATTTATTCTTCTATTCAATGTATTTATTTTTAAACATATTATATATCTAAATATCTTATTTTTGGTGCTAAGTTTATAATTCGTTCAAATGAAATACGTATTTCAATGAATTAACTAAGTTACTATACTTAATTAGAAAAACTCGCGTAATTGTCAATCATGTGGTCTATCGTATGAAGTAAAACAAGTTTGTTTTCCTTGATGGTTTGATCATTGTTAGTAGAATTTTAATAAAATATTTGTATTTTAAAGAGTTCCATATAATAAGCGTTTAATATATTTATTTCTTATTGTAAAAAAAAATTATCGTATAATATATTATATGAAAAGAATCGAGTATTTATGGTACCCTATCTAGTAGCCATACTATATATACTATAAAAACAAAATATAGATTGAAAAAAATGTATTATTTATTATTATTGCACTTCTTCTGATTAATTTTAGTAATAATAATAAACTAGATAAACTTCTCCTACATTGAAGATTTGAAAATAAAGTGATAATTTCTTCAAAATCTGCTATATAACATTACAGCAACAAATAATATGCATATACATGTTATTTCTGTACAAAATTGTCGTAAATAATGCCAACACAAAAAACTTTTTTAGTTTTTTTTTTTTTTAGTTCACTTTAAATTTTTTTTGTAATTATTAAAATATTTTCCGACCAATTGATGAACAGACGTACATTTTCGAGTTGTAATAATTGCTTTGAACAGGTTTTGAATTTGAAGCCCCAGGTAACAGGGTACACTTGACCCTCCCTAAATACGTTCCCGGTCGGTATAAATATTGCCGTTTTTCAGTACATTTTTGTATAGCTCTCTGTCCTTATCCAAGATCATAACAATAATTGTTTCCCAAAATACATTATTATTATTATTATTATTGTATGAGTCGGTATTCACATCTCAACGAGGCATATTTATCGGGATGACAAGTGCGTATGTTCGGCTACGTATTCATGCTATATAACATCAATACTTTCATTATTACTTAAATTGTCTCAACGAGGGTACTCTAAATATTTTGATGATAAGTGCGTATGTTCGTCTACGTGTTCCAGCTACAATAATAATATTGAATTACCTAGACAATGATAAACATAATAATAAAATAATAATAATATTTTTACTCCGAGACGTATACTTGTTTATAGGTAACACGGAAACCTGTATAGGCAATTTACCTACATTACTCTCATTATAATTTATAGTCCATTTTTCGGTACCTCACAATTGGCAATAATATGTTTTATTTTTGATGGCCAAAACTAAAACTTAATACAAAACTGTATTAAATTATATTATATTATTATTATTGAACCTCAATTGGCCGGACTATATTTTATTTTTCCCGTTGAATCTTATTATGCCCTCCATGAAAAATGCAAAAATATTAAATACATTTATAATTTGAAAACATAATTATAATTATAAATTAATTATAATGGGTACGAAAAAGCTTAAAAAAGTATAGTCAATGATCAGTTGGTTTAATTAATTTTAAGGGGTTTTAGTGCACATTAGAGTTCTGAACTTTATCATAGTAATAACTGCACAGTGAGGGTTTAAAAAACGATTGAAATAATATATAAACTACAATGATAAATCAATAGAACGATGGAGGGTAACTAAGTACGACTTACTTCTTTCAAGTGCCTAGATTTTGCAGCAGTGTGTGTTTGGCAAGTGTGCACCGATCTCAATATCTGAGTACTACTTCTCATTATCTGCGTCATGCTAATCTTCTCTAATAAATAGATTATATACTAAAATTATTAATAAAATATCGTAAATATATTAATATATTAATTTTAGTTTAATTATCTAATTTGTTCGTAAAAAACTGAACTTAAAATGTCCATAACAAAACAAATCTGTTTATGAGCTTTTTAGATTTTTTGGTAAAAGTATGAACTATTTATGAGCATCCTTGTTTAAAATTTTCGAGATTTTGAAAAAAGTTGTCAAAGTCTGTACTGATTAAAAAAAACCTAGTCTATTGATCCCCTAATATTTCTCAACTGCTATTATTTAGCACTATTATCGACCGTATATTTCATTATTATGTATCGGGTCGTTGACGTACTACTTACTTCTGACATGTTTTGAGGTGTGCTATTTTTTAGTATGGCCTCATCTTCATCAAGAGACCGCTTTCGTTTGTCGAGGGCGGCTCTTGGTGATCGTGACAATTTACTACTAGCATGTTCATCTCCGGTTGATCTGTTTCGTTTGTTGCCAGGTACGGCCGAGTGGTAGCCTTAAATAAGTTCAGATTGATTTTTATGAATAGTTTCTTCGACTTTCAAACATAATTTAAAAAAAATATATAAAACATAATCAAAGACCATTTACGTTACATAATATACTGTATATCGTAACTACAAGAAAAATGTACTTTTTCAATAAAAACATTTGATCCTGCTTCGTGGGCAGTGTTCTAGTTCCGTTTTCCGTTCTCTCCAATGTTTCCAGTTTCCGATTCGTTTCTCTTTTCCAATTTCTCAAGCCGGTCATTTTTTTCCATATTGTTCTCACGAGTTGGCATGAAATAAAAAGTCGCACAGGGGCAGTGCAGCGTACCGCAGTGAAGGCAAATACTGTGGGGGGTGCCAGGTGGACACAAACTGACCTCTGTGCCAAGTACTCCCCCTTCACGAGTTTTGGGGTTGAGGGTTTTTCCGGGTTGTCCTTCCCTTAGGGCATTTGCTCAAGCGGGAGCAGGCTGCCTCTGACCTTATCGGCTCTCTCTCTTATCACCTATTCAGAGAAAATGCCAGCTCAGAATTTTTTATCGTGGTTTTCCTTTCACTAGGGTTTTGCTGGCGCTAGTAAGCTACCTCCAACTCGCCGACCCCGGCCAGTTAAGGCAAGGGTGGCCCTTAAAACTCTTACTTCTAAATGTGTACAGTAGGATTTTTACGTTCATTACATTAATTATTCAATTATTTAAAATACTAAAAAATTAATTATTTAAATATTGTATGAGGCTTTTTTATGATTCCTAATTTGTCGTTTCTGTCGGTCTTGAGCATTTTTTTTTATAGGTTTGAATTTTCCATTCGGGAATTGTGTTGTAAATGGTACTATATTTGACTGTTATGATATTTGTAGGTATTCATAAATGTGACATCTGCCGTACGGAAATTGTACGTATATATCGTCGACTTCCATCTTTTTATTACTGCTGCTAGAAATGGTTTACCTCCAGTTTTTGCATTGACACCCTCTCCGGTAAACAATGGGGTGTTGATATGTTCTGGTTAGTTGTGGTTCTTCCAAAAGTCTTGCAGGCTATACATTATCTGGTTGGCTTTCTTTTGTACATAATGTTTGACATTGCTCCTCATCGTATGTGGGGGTAATACCTGCATACCATAATTTTTAAAAGAACATGAATGATAATCCAGTGGCAAACTGATATTTGATAGATATTTTTTTAATATTATAAAATACTATAAATTCATTTAATCATAAAAATAATATTTTAAAAATTTCAATAAAATACATTTTTGCTCTCTGGAAAATTACAAAAATAATATATATGATCTTTCCATGAAAGTTTTTAATCAAAAAGTAACTTTTTCTCTGACCTGGCGGCTTAGAACGACGGACTTAATAATAGTTCGGTCGTTATAGGTATCCGACTGTAAGTAAGGGAGCCTTTTTATTTGGCCCGGACACCAGAAAGGTGTCTAATATCTAATATTTAATATCTCCTGCCTCTCAATTCGAAACCCAGGTGTGTCAGACCTCATCATCGGGAGCGATGGAGGTGGCGGTGGTAACCCAAAACCTGTGGTTACAGATGGTGTTGGAGGTGGAGGTGGTGGCATAGGTACCGAGTGTACTGGTGTTGGCGTTGGCATCGGCGGATAGTGTTTACCAGTGTTGGTGGTGGCATCGATATAATTATAGTGGACCGATGGCGATGCTGGAGGTGCATTTGACGATTATGTGGCAATGCGTGGTCGGTTGGTCTTGATTCACTCTGATTAAGATCCGAGTCTTAGAACGGTTTCCTAAACGAATGTTAAATGAAAAAATAATGTTTAATACTATTATAGGTAGACTGATATATTATTATATTACTTGTCATGTCCTCCATTTCAGTTCTCAGTAAAGCAAGTGTACCTAATATGAATATATTTTACATTAAAAAATAATATGTACTCAATATAAACTCAAACTAAATCTTCTAAAGATTTTATTCTTTGCTCCATCATAATTTTATACCCATTTTCTTCGACTTAATGATCATCAGTGACAGCCGCTGATTCTGTCGTCTTGACAATTTTAATGTCTGTTGCAGTTGCCGAATCTGTCATCTCAACTTCGTGAATTTCACTTCTAGTATATGCATCATATAATGTCGGTTCTTCACCTTCTTGTAGGCTCGTCGCGGGGGTGAAAGTTCAACATAGTCTTCACAAACTGCTCTTTTGCGGGGTGGTAAACATGGACACATGGTGGACGTTCATTTGGAGTTGGAAATGTTGGGTAATCATATGTTTTATGGACATCATCAATATCGCCCAGTGTTTGACTTGACGGTTTAAAGGTATAATCGTCGATTGGATTGTACCACCTGTCTCGTTTAATAACATATTCATCGAAATCGCTCTAAAAGAACCTAAATTGTCTATCCCTTGATTGACCAGTGTTAGGGAACATTACCTTCAGGAATTATAATCCGATTATAATAAAAAATAATTAAGGTACGTCTTGATGAAACTACACTTACATTGATATGTGTCTGTGGCTCACGGATCCATGCTCCTACAATATCTAATATTTCTAGAGATTTCGGCGGAGATCTGAATAGCACATCAAATACTTCTCGGACTGTCTTAGCGAATCCGCCACGATGGCCACGGAGCGTTTGAGCATGCCACCAATAATCTTCTGCGGTGACTTCCGTCACAGCCTTCACGGTGTATCTTGAAATTAATTCTCTAATAATTAGTCCTACGAATTTTTTTTAATGCATTTCAGTGTACAAATTTATGTTGAGTGTTTTAAATATTAGAAATAAACAAATAGTGTTGTCATTGCAACGAATTTTTCGTAATTTCAAAAGGCAATGAATATATAAAAATATTAATAATCATAATGAACATAATCGAAATATTTTATTATCGGAAAATACTATTTATAAATACATATTATGTACATATTCAATAAGATAAGATAATTCTCAAGCCCGTTTGGATTACCGCGTCTTTCGGATTAGCCTGTGTTCGGATTATCGAGACCCTACTGGCCTACTGTATAACGTAAGGTCGAAATGTAAGGCGAAAGTTTGGCATTTACAATACATATGTATTATTATTTATTATTATTTGATATTACCTATTATTATTATTATTATTATTATTATTATTGAATTACTATCATGTTTAAACTTTTATATGGCATCTAAATTTTAATTGTTTTGTGTTAAATTATTGAAAAGGGCTTCGCCCGTTAATATATATAAATAAATAAATTATTATTTCATAATACATTATTATGTATATACCCCCCCCCCCCCCAAGGCAGTATAGGCTCGTGAGTTAATGTTTTGGGGAGACTTAAATTATATTATAACATACAGTTTTTTGTTCGTACGTTTAAGCATTAAAGCCACTGGTTAGTAAAAATTCTATGATTTGGTTTTTTTACATTTTTAAAATAATAACAAATACTTATAAAAATGTCAAAAATAATAAATATTAGATAGATAAACGTTAAAACGTGTAATAGTAGTTATTAAACAAGGAATGAACAGCGACTAAAATGTATAAAACTAATTAACCACGGTTCAGCGGCACGGCAATTAATGTCGTGAACCCAGTTTCAAAAGCGTCTATAATTCGCGGATTAGACTGTCGTAGAAATGACTAAAATTGTATTTCCATTGAGATAACTATTAATATGTTTTCGATTTTGTGACCTCCGATTTATAAAAATAAACAATGAAAACAATATAATATATTTTCAATTAAAATAAAAAAATATTTCTATACATTAGTATTATCAAGTTGATGGTTTTTTTTTTTAAGGGTAGACGCAGTCTCAAAGTCTCCCCTGATGAGCCGTCCCTGGCTGTGCTTAGAGAAACAGTTAATTAGCTTAATAAAATTATATTATTACAGTTATTACGTTTTTAAACACTATAAAATATGTTTCATCAATACGCTTACTATACTATGATAATATTGTAGTAAATAGTATACAATTATTACACTGAAAGTAGTATACCTAATATTATATCCAAATTATAAGATACCGTCAAAAATGCACTTGCGACAGTAACCTAGCTAATAAATAGCCTATACAGAGTTCCGTGTTATCATTATAATAAAAAAACTTGAACTAACTCAATATTATAAAGAGAAAAATAAATAAATAATAGTGCACATCTCATATTCTCCCAGATTCATTAACTAAGATTTTTTGGTTACGGTATTTCATAATGTTACAACCTGCAAAATAATCTGCAAATGTTTGTAGTTTTTTATAATTATTATAAAAATGTCAACTGAAGTAGAGGTATCTGTGATGTAAGTTGATGACAAGGTTATAAATTATATGCATTCACCAAGCAATCTATGTGGTACACAAACTTATCCGTCGTATGAAAACAAACGTGTCAAAGCTGTGGCTAGTTAACACTTAGACTGCCTGCAGGTCACTTAAAAATCAATCTTTTACGCCACCCGAACATCCAGCCTGAAATAATTGAACTCTACAATGGCAACCATCAATTTGAAACACAAAACATATTATATTCAAATAAAAAAATAATTCCAATTTAGCCATTTTTCTTGTACGTTTAGAACCAAATACAAATAATCATTTAATATGTATATAAATACTATTTAATTCATTTTCTTGATGATACTAGTTAGTAGTTTCTTCTAAATTATGAATTACAAAATCAGTCCATTACAACTAATAAGTAGTTGGTATACTCTTGATTATTACAAAAATTATATGGGTAGGTATAACAATGATTATCTACATTATCAATGACTTAATATTATTATACATGAATAAATGTAAACGTATTAATGTATGGTATCTTTAATTATACCTTTTGTCGATTAATATCAAAAATTTTCGGAATCGCAAGAACATTTTTTTTGAATATCTAAGCCCCTAATTTTTGGCATACACTCTACATCATAGAGCAAAGAATTCATTACTTATTTTAATAACATGGAAAATAACACATTGTTACATAAAAATCACTTTTAAAAAGTAATTTCGTGACAATTGCGTTAATTTAAATAAAATATACTGAAATTATTACAGCGTTACGGCAAAAAATAATTTTGTTACAGTAATTTTTAATTTGTGTGGCAAATCCTCCACATTTGCATTACATAATTACTAACCAACACTGTCAGACCTAAAAGCTATAGAAATTAAACATTTTTAAAACCAAAATTATCTGGAAATTTTTGTTATATTGGCGAATATGATATTAACATTTTTCAATTAAACAATAAATTATGTGAGTACTATCATACAATATGAGAAAATATTTAGGTATATTTTATACCTAAACTGTGTAAAAAGAAGAAATCATGATTTTTAACAAGTTTTAAAATGTCGTGGCCTATTAATGACTACTGCACCTCCTCCTGTAACTAGTTTAACATTGATTGATTCTGTGACTATGGTCCAAATTTTGGTCTCGGGGCAGTAACATTCTATAGAATCCAAAGCAGTAACTTGGTTATATCCACCGATGGCATACAATAAACCATCTAATGCAACTACCCCTGTGTTAAAATATTAAGATAAAAAAATAAAAATTTGCATATCTTAAAAAAAAAATGTTTCGTAAAATAATTATGAAGTATTCTACGATAAGTTACCTGGGTTTCTTCGAGGAAAATGCATGACTGCAATATTAAACCAACCTATACCTGGTCTGTATGCTTCGACGCTACTCAGAGATAAGTATCCACATGAGCCGCCAACAGCATATAGTATACCTTTTAAGACCCCTACACCAGCATTTCGGCGAGGTACATGCAATTTTTCGACAGGTGTCCATGTCTCAAGAATGGGATTATAACATTCAACAGTGTTTGAGGGCTGGCCTGATAACGTATCACCTCCAACCTACAAACTGAATTAATGAAAGTAGCTTAAAAATAAAAATCCCATGCCCTCAAAAAACATCCCCGGAATAAAATATTATTGCATAGCATTATCAATAAATGTGATTGAGTATCTATTTATGAAAAGTTGAATATGCAATATAATTATTTTTAAATACAACAATGTATGTATTATTAAATAGAATATCAAATTACACAATACATAAGTTCATTGATCAAGATTGATTTTTAATTTCTAATAATTTTTGAACTTATATATTATTTAATTTGATATTTTATTTAGTAATACATACATTGTTGTATTTTAAAATAATTATATTGTATATTCAACTTTTCGTTTGAAAGATTCACTATTTAAAGAAAATCAAAAATTAAACTATGTTTAATGTTGAAAATAAACATCATAATAAATCATATTACTTTTATATTATTTGTATTATCATTTTCAAACATTGAGATTATTAATAAGATTATTTTTTTTTATGAAATTATGTAAAAATCTGTAACAAAAATGAAATTGAGTTCTGAAAATCAAATTACTCCTGCATAGGTTTATTTGCTCGATGAAAATAAATAGGTTTCTTCTGAAATTAGTAAATTATTGAATAGATAGTTGGTATAATATAAACAAGTATTTGTATTAATTGTTTTAGCATTCATTTAATTGTTAAATAATCGATATATTTTATTTTGGGAATGCATTCCGTGATTCATTTTGAGGGGATTGTTTTATTCCAATTCCAATTATTATAACCAATTATTAGACAATTTAAAATAAAACACATTTATTTACCACGTATAAACGATTATTCAGTACTCCGATCCCAAAATCAACCCTGTAAGTAGACATACTAGGTATCATTTTCCATTTTTGAGTATTGCAGTCAAAAACTTCAGCAGTTTCTAAGTGTTGCAGCTTACCATTGGAGCCACCAATCTGAAATATAATGTATATTTACCTACTGTCCTACTGCATGACGGAAATAACGAATAAGGTAATACATTATAATTCAATATTACTTACGGCATATACGCAATTATTAATTACACCAACTCCAAAAGAACTCCGATCAGTTAACATGTCAACACTTGGTTTCCAACAAGGAGATTCTAAAGATAAATCTAGCAGGTCAACAGACCGAAAAGTTGATAAATCATCATCAAAACCACCCATAGCAAATACTAAATAATCATTCACTACAGCTACACCACATCCATTACGGCATGGAATCGTTTCATGTAAAATATGCCATCGGTTCATCTTTGGGTCATACCATACTGTGTTCCCATCTTCATAGGTATCTCCGCCAACAACTAGAATAACCTGTTATAACTAAATCGTTAAACATATTGGAAAGAGAAATAAATTATAACAGAGTAATACTTTATCTCCAAGTCTAGGTGTATTCCGGATGTTTTGTGGGATGAGCTCATCGGACTTGAGTAAATGAAAATGTAATGCTTCAATTATGTAATCTTTACCTTAAAATGATAAATATATAATAATATATAAATATATATTTTTAAAAAATATAAATCAGCTCACTATAATAGCATACCTATATAAAGAAGAAACTTACTTTCAAGACAACTCTTAATAAGAGGTTCCTCGGCTACTTTTTTTAATATGTAATTTTTTGATATTAATGATAAACGGACATGTTCCATTAATTGAGGCAAAATATATTTTCTAGAATCTAATTCATGTCTTACCCATCGAATAACACTTTCAAATACCTACAACAATAAATAGGCTAATAAATTAATTCGAGGGCATATATGTAACTATGTAAGTTTGTTAGGTACTTTGTTTTGTCTTCCCCAACACTAAAATATAATACTAGATAAGTAAGTGATTTTAATTGAGTTAGGATAACTGTTGATAGAAAACGTTTTGAAAAGTGTAAATGTTAATAGTTGTTTACATTTTTTTAAACTCAGTTAAGTTAAAAATTATATGGAGACTTACAATTAAATTATTAACTTGTGTTAAGTTATTTTATTTGTATTTAAATGTATAAATAGCCAGCTATATGGTTTAAAATACGAAAAAGTAAATGTTTGTGCAATTTGCATCAATGCATCATCAATAATAAATAATAATTGTATTATATTTATTATTTAATTTTTTTTAAATAACGTAATTTTAATTCGATTAAATGTAACTCGTTATTTGTTTGGTTTATATCAATAAAAATCAGTTAAGTTAATAAAAAATTAAATTCTAAAAGTTATAATAATCAACTAATTTTTAACTTTATTTAAACTTTTTAACTCGTTTATGCACAGGCTTACTAAAATATAACTATAAGCAATTTTAGTTTGCCTACTTTTTCTTCAGATGGAACTATAAGTTCATCGTTGGAGATCAACTTAACCACTTGATCGGATGATAAGGATAGGAATTCGTCACCACCAACAACTTCTCTATTAATAAAAATAAAGCAATAATAAATAAAATGTCCTTATAGGATCGTAAAAATAAATACTATTTCGTACAAAAAGTGTTTTCGAATATATAATTCTGAACTTGTTACCAATTTTGTACAGCTATGTAAATCAGCTATTGCATTTATACCAATACAATTTGTGGGGCAAATTTGAGACTGTAAAAAATCACAACATGCCTCTTTTACTTTTTGTAATTGCAAGTGATTTGCAGCTGTTAACAAAACCTTGAGAAATGAACATAAAACAATTTAAGTTTTTTTTGTTCTCTGTGATAAAATGAAACTTTATCTATATTACTTGGAAGTTTTTTTCAGTGACAATAATTTCTCCAGAGTAAATAAAATTCACTAAGAGCTTTAAGGCCGTTGAATCGAATTGTTTCATGACAACAATGTCATGATTTCTTTCTGCAAATTTTGTGAACATCGCATAGAAATATGGACTTGCCGATGCTAAAATTACTTTATGTGCGAATATTATTTGGTTATCATCTGTTTTAAGTATAATATCACAAAAAACCTCATGTCTAAAAACGAAAATTTGTCAATAATTTATCTAGCAGTTAAAATCACTTTCAACTTACTTTCGTAAGGACTGTAATGCATTAAATATCTCCTTATACGATGATTCCTTACATGCATAATTTGTTGGTTCAAATTTACTGGCTTCAGGTATTTGCTGTGTATTTTGCATTGTGTATATTACGTTCAGGATTTTGAGGTTTTAAGACTAAAAGGGTGCATTTTATAAATCCTTTATATTATGTATCGATAAAAATCGTTAATAATCTACAGAATCAATATTTTTAATAATCATACTCAACATTTTATTTAACTTAAAAAAAAGATTTTATTTTAAGTTCAGCAATATGACGAACAGGTCAATATGATTGTTCTTTCTCAGTTATTTTCGTTGTTTTTTTTATTCCACTACCGGACACGCAATTTACAATTTTGCAAATAAATATACCAAATTATAAATTATGTTTTAATTTTAATAACAATCAAAAAAATATTAAACAATTATTGTTCAATATTATAAAAATTGAAAAATTAATAGATACATTGAAATTAAAATCGAAAATTTCAATCCTTATATTAAAATACTCATTTTTATAATCACATTGATATATTTACAAAAATAATAATGAATCAAAAAATGGATGGATTCTAAAATATAAATAACTTTTATACATCGTCACTAAAATGATATACATTTTTTTGTTGGTTTATTCAATATATTTTTTAGTAAAATATTGTCGAATTTAATATACATAGATAGTAATACTTCCTTACCTTAATAGTAATTAACTTAAAACCAGTAATGGTTAAAGTAACAGTAACAATTAAGTAATAATTAAAATAAGTAGTTAGTTGAGACTAATCTGACTGTTACAGTCCCCTGCAGTACAACTTTATATTGACAAAATATAAAAATAATGATTTTATTCAATATAATTTAACACATAGGTAACTGTAGTAACAAATTACCATTTTAAGATTATTCCACCCACACTAAAAACTAAGAGTTTTCGGGCATGAAAAGATAAGCAATACTGTTTGTTTGTTTAAGAATTTGCACTTAAATGATATGACATAAATAACCTGTATTATATATCCATAAACATACATACACAATAAGATTACATGAATATATAGAATATAGAGGGTGATTCAAAACTTCACGAGTTTTTCTCCGTTTTTCAATTAAAAATTTATTTATTTAAATTCCAACTTTCGGAATTTTTAAATATATTTGAGGACCATATTTTCAAATTCTTGAGATTTAATGTTCTATTAAAGGATTTTCCTGTGATGTGTACACGCATGTTTTTCAAATAAGAAATCTTCCCTTTTTACTGTATTTTTTAAGGGGATATTTTTTTTAAAAATTTGGAGTACCTAATTTAAAAATTAAACTAGTAGTTTTTCAGTTATCAAAATGTCTATCCAAAGAATAATAGGCAGTCCTTTAAAATGGTTTTACAAAAATATTAAATAAATCTAATATTAGATACGATATAGCCATATAAGTTTGTTAGTGTTGTACATGATACATAAAAAACCTTACAATTGTGTTAAGATCTCAAACAATCCAATTTAAAATACACTTTAATCGATAAAACATACCAAAAAATAACGATTTTAGTAATATAATAATCGATCAAGTGTAGAATATTTTAAATTAGAGTTATTAATACAATTTGTGGTATTTATTCAACTTATACGACAGTAAATTTATAAGAAAAAATAAAAATAAAAATCTATGTGGGCAATATATTTTAAAAGTCGGACATCATTAAAATTATTGAAAAAAATGCTTAATAAAATATAAAAAAAAATACCAAGTAACTATTAAAAAATGCAAAGTTACTCAATTATTGAACTCAATAGCTCTTAATTCAAACAGTTTGTTGAAGAAATTTGTCTTAAAGTAGGAAAGCTAAAAACAATACATTGATTATCTGGTTGTGTATCATCCTATAGCTACCGGCAACATCGTGACTGCAATAATATGCGAACTAATGGTTTTGCCACTCTACAGCAATATTTGAACAAGATTATTTTATTTTAATTATTCAAATTAAGCCCTCTTGAACGTGTATCAATCGACACATATTTGAGGTAACGGAAGTCATTACAATACAGTAAATAATATTATAAAATCACAAGCACACTCATAATAATAGAAATTACACATAATCAGATTAATAAATCAGGCAGGATCTGTATTGGCAAACGACGGCATTAGACGTCGTGACTTTGTGAGCTTGTGACCGTTTGACAATTATCAAATAATCTTAGCCACTTTGGGCAAGATTGCTGACCACGAGAGCAGAAGTCTGGAGCGTCGTGGATTTTTGTTCTCATAATATAGGTATCTCGGGACAGAACGAGGAAACAAACAACGATAGCAGTAATAATAATAAATAGAAAACTGCTGACATCATTTTTAGGTAGATAAAAACGAATGTATTAGTTTGGTGCCGACCACTGTAGATAATAGTTAATGATTAGTCAATACCTAATTGTCTACCTTAGTTGTTAGCGTACAGTTAGAAATGGGATGTGGATAAATACAGATAGTAGTACCTATAGGTAGACGGTAGACGGTAGACAGATCTATACAGCCCTTTTTTTTTGTGTGCAATGATAAATCATTGAACTTCGAACTCAAATTTAAAACACATCCACATTACAGTGCCTTGCGCAATGGCTGCAGGCTAGACTCGACACATAATATTTTACACTAATATGTAATACAGCAGAGTCAGAGTGGTTAAACCTATACTTTTCCCTCTTCATATACTATTTTATAGGAAATTTATTTGTGAATGATTGGTATAATTGTATTTATGAGTAAAAGAGCTTTACCACTTTGACATTGATACTCAAGATTTATCAAGAACAAACATTTTGGAAAAATGTTTAAAAAAATTGTATTGTTGAATCCTATACATTTTTACGAGTTATAGAAATTCAAATTTTTCAATATTAGCCACTTAAACATAATATGTATTATATGTATGTAATTTTTTTTATAATAAATTTTAAGGTATGCTATAAGCGATTAATAATTGATGATTATGCAACAACTCATTAAATACTATAACATTTTAGAAATTTAGTTGATAGTTCATTAAAAAGGGATTATCAAGTAGATATACAAACATTTTGTCTTATTTAATATGAAATAAAAAAAATTATTTAATTGTTCACAGTTAAAAAAAGAGTTATTTTTCGCTAGATTTTCATTGAGCTGAGTAGATTTCAAAGAAACTGGAGAACAAATTTTGTTGTTTGGGTTCTTCTTAAATTCATATTGACCAGGAAAGTACAGTGAAGATTTTCAGAACTTTATTTGTAATTGTCAATTCACTATAAAGCTTAACACTTGAAAAATATCATACAACACATTTCTTAAATATTGATTGATAGCTCATATAGAAGTAACTTTATTGGAGAATACAAATCTATCGATAAAAATTAAAATTAATGTTATTTTATTTAATCATTTAACATTGCATTAAGTGTTAATGTTTACTAAATTCTGTACTCTCTGAAATTGGTTTGTGCTAATTTTTGTACAATTCGGTAAAGGTAAATTATTACAGTTAAATATTTTGGTTGAACTAATTTTTACTTATTGTAACTAGATGGTATTAATTGGGTACCACTAAAGTGCGTGTGGTCTACCGTTACTTTTCTAATATATTATGTAATGTATCATGTAATCTACCTGATACAAATTTAACCTTTTTCTTATATGTGAGATATCTAATTATTCTACTATAATCTAATATCCTCTCAATAAATTAATTTGCAATTAATAATTTCCCCTAAAGAAAACATTTCTGTTAATCATATTGTAATAAAATACGCATATATAGCATAAAGTTAATACATTTCTGAAAATTAAAAATGAAGAAAGTTTACACGCCGATTTCTGACTTAGCATGCGTTTTTTAACCATATTTTAGACGTACATTGTTCATGGCAAATCGTCTATAAACCGTCTATGAAATAACTGCTATGTGATTTTTTTGTTTAAAACGTTTCTTATGTTTCCAGAAATCTACACTTTATTTTACATAGGAAGTTCATTCCAATCAACGACCAATTATTTAAAAATATTTAAAATCGTCACGATACGATGTTTTATGATTATCTTGTTTTGGAGCTTATGTATTTGAGCATAATTATACATTTTTATTTTTATTGTAATACTTATACTTATAATTATAATAATAATAATATTTCATCTTCTTTATACATGTAAAGGAACTACTTTAACAATAATCAACGCAGAGCCGAACCTATTTGAGTTATCGAATTGAAGTTTTGAAGATGGATTAATATTATAATGTCAGGTTCCACTAAGAAAGGATTTTACAAAATGTTGATTTCAAAGCGGTGAAATCGGCAAAAATAAATTGTTTATGGCACGTGCATTTAACAAACACTACAATCTAACTTGTTCATAAATGCAATAGATAAAATATAAAATACAATTTACATCAAATTTTGAATAATTTTATAGCTTTATCACTTTTTTATTACGACCTATAAATAATTTTCTAAACGTAAGACATCTTGATACCTTGTTCAGTCGTACAGCGTTTTTACTTATTGACTTTTATATTAATTTATTATAGAAAAAATATTAAATACGTTAGCTGTAAAAAGGTACTAACTACTAAGGTACGTGATCAAATGCGCCCGTATATGTGTACATGCGTAGATTACCAATATCAAACCTAAATCCAAATTTATTAGCTAATAAATAAACTAACATTTATAAATGTATAATGCATATCATAAACTCGCATAGCACTCGGAGAAAATGTATTGTTCAATAACAAAACAATATTTAAAACAAGAAACAAATACAACATATCCGAGTTTCTCCATCAGTCCCTAGGCCAAGACGAAAAAACCATCAAAAACACACTAAATTGTATCAAAGACACACATTTTGAAAACACATTGTAAATAACATAGTTATATTCTTTACTGTAGATTTTCAGTACTAAATGTAAAAATCTAATGTCAGAATCGGTCAAGCTGCAGAGGCTTAATTCTTATAATAATAATAATGAAAAAAAATATTTAAAATAATTTTATTGCAATATTTTTTTCCGGTTCTCGTACGTCAGACACCATATTAGTCGATATTTAAACAGCGGGTCAACTATTTCCGGAAGTAAATACTGTAATTAAAATCGGAAACAAAGTTTATGTATATATTATAATAGATACCTAAGTATTATTTTTATGTTTTTTTTTATTATATTATGTTATAAAACTAGTTTCGCACGAATACGATATATTTCAACACAATATTTATAAATCATAATTGCGCTAATTACAATTAACATAACTGATTATTTATGAAATAAATGAAATAAAAAATCTTAAATTCAATAAAGACTTTTTTAATCGAATAAACACATAGCTACACCAACAGGACAAATTGATTCCCTTACTATAGAAAAGACATATGAATTCGTTTATGCGAATAAATACTTAGTTGTTTTAATATTTACAATATACTTTAAAATACTTAAAAATACAAAAAAAAAGTTATAATCAGAAAATGATGTAGGACTTGCATATCGTCCCAGTGTTACACAAAAATAATTAAATAGTTTTATAAATAATTGTTTATTAGTTAAAATTTGATACTCAGAAGTTTTTTTAAAAAAAACTATGTAATTTTCTGATAATTATTATCCTTTATAATTATGTATAGACAAGTGAAACAAACAAATTGTATTACAAATTATTATATATTGTACAACATTTTATGTTGTATTATTTGTATGTATACCTATATTATGTATAACTACATATAATACTAACGTACTATTGATAGTAAATTAATTAAAATATTATCAAATTATGATTTTTGCAATTTTCATGTGTAATTATAATAGAACATTTTTATATTATCTACAGTTTTAATGATATTTTTAATAATAATTACTGTCAATAATAATCGATTTTTATATTCTTCACAGTTAATATTTAT